GCCACATATCCTTCGCCCAGAACGGAAGATGTTCCTACAACCACTTCTGAGTGCGGTTCGAGGTGTGGCACGGAGCCCCATCTTGTTGAAGTACAACATTTGGCTTCGGACCGTACTGTTCTTTGATCCACGGAAGAACATACTTACTTAAATCCCGATGTAGACCTCCGTGTTGACCTTGTCGGAAGCCACCAATCCAAACACCATAACGCTAGCAGGATGCTTGGTCAGATAGACGTTCTTGCGCTCGTCGGCCACGTCTTTTACCGGAAGAGAACTAATATACCGGTCGGTTCTGGAATTTGATAAGGGATCGACGGTAAAAATGCTCTCGTCGGTGAACAGGATTACCGGATTTTTCGCTTAAGGAAGTTCAAGATTTTCTTGCATCGTTCGACTCGTAGTTCCCAGATGCGGTTGGTAATCATGTGAGTTTTTTCCGTGGCCTCGACTTCGCCCCGCAATCTCCCTTTACGATCTTCCGTGCCGTAAAGTCACTGATCCCGTGTTCCTTTGCCATTTTCCTTATTGAACGCACTGGATTCACCCGAATCTTCCTTTTGATAGCAGCGATAAACCTCGGAACCCGAGCTGACCTCGGACAACCTGTGGCCACCTTCGCGGATAGTTATCCTTTCTTTTCTCGGCCTAAAACCACAAACGAAGTGACAGACGGAGCGGCTCGAAAACTTTGGTGACTAACCTGCTATTGCAATTTTTCAGTGTACCACATGGCAACACCACTACTACTGGATTGAACCACATGGCAACACTACTACTGGATTGAACTAGCATTTTCACCAAATGTACTAGAATGTTTTAGTTCTATCTCTTTCACTCTACTCAAAACTGAAATGCATAAAAAATGACAAAATGATACACACTCTTTGCACACTGTCAAAGAATCATTGTACACAAAATCAACTTTGTGGAAAACCAAAACAAAAATACTATCCCATGTGGTGGATGATGGCACAAGCTTCTAAGAAAATTCTATTACAGCGAACCACATTATTTTAATTGATTTCTTCGCCAGTTAGTCGTCTGTCACTTCGTTTGTGCTAAAACCCTTTTGACGGTCCACCGGGACACTCCCACGGCGATTGAAATGTCTTTTTGCGACATTTGCACGTGGGACAAATCACGAATACGCTGCCACTTCGTCATGGTGCAACTGTCAAGCTAAGTAAATCATTTTCTTTTATACACAGCCTACTACTCGGCCTACTACGGTATGAGCTATAGGTTACGTGCATGCAAAAAAAACCAAAGCATTGTATGCACAGGTGAATAGGGAACCTTATTTGTACGATGGTGCAAACATTATCACGCATACGGTACAAGACGCTAATTAGACAGGCGGTGGTCCTCTACGGCCACGAGACCTGGACTATGTTTGGTATTTTCGAACGAAAGGTGTTGTGGACCATCTACGGTGGAGTGCAGATGAACGACGGAACGTGGAGGAGGCGAATGAACCACGAATTGCACCAGCTGCTGGGAGAACCATCCATCGTCCACACTGCTAAAATTAGGCGACTACGGTGAGCTGGGCACGTCGTAAGAATGCCGTACGCCGACCCAGTGAAAATGGTTCTCGAAAGCGACTCAACAGAAACAATAAGAGACGCGCAGCCGGCAAGGTGAATCTACCAAGTAAAGCCTGTCCACGTTAAATTTCGGACACTACGATAATGTCGGGAAATAAAATCTACACACAATACAACAAAACCGATTGTTTATTTCAGTGAAGTAGACTTATATCAGCCCAGTGGCAGGCGTGTAGGCAACATGTTATACCGTGACGCGGGCCCAGCACAGCAAAATAAACGATTTGAGCCCGGGACCTACTGTCAAACGCTGCTGTTGGTATAGACCTTGTCACTGGCCTGACTTATATCGATAGCAAACGTAGCTTATTTGAATGTTAATTCTTTTGTCTATAAAATTTTCGAACTTTCTGTGGGATACCAGCCATCAGGTCTTCATCTACTATTAAAATCATTGATGCCATTTTGCTTTCCTCTTTCTTTCGAATAGTATCCGCTTAACCAGAGTCCAGTACCTTTCTATTGGGCGAAGTTCTTGACAGTTTGGCGGATTGACTGTTATTGGCACGTATTTGACCTCTTGTGCATTATACCACTCCAGGACAGATTTTGCATAGTGACAAGACGCCAAATCAGGCCAAAACAGAGCTGGAGTGTCGTGGCTTCAGATGAATGGTAGCAACCGCATTTGCAAACATTCTTTCTCATAAACATCTTTGTTGATAGTGCCGGTTTTGGATTTCCGGCCGCAACTATGTACATATCACCTACATATGGCCTGCATGCCAAACCAAATACTTTTTGGGGAATTTCGATAGCTTCTTTGTGCAGAAACACTGACATTCCTTTGCATTGCAGTATAAAAGCCAAACCCGAAAGGTGTTGAAAGTCACTATGTACGCTTTTAGCCCATGCCTCGCTTCACTTTGTGTACATATGATTTTGATTTTCCAACTTAGCGATCCACATTACGAACTGAAAAGTTTGGATGTTTCTCAATAATGGCTACCACCTTCTGGTCCATTTGTCCATTTGTTCCGCATCCAACCTTGCGATCCACAGTTTAGCACTAGTCAAACGATTTGCACACACTAAACACTGTATGTAATCTTCGGCATTTTTAGCTTTTTGGCGAGACCGTTGGATTATACTGCCGTTCGTACAAAATGCGTTTGCATACCTCCACTTGATTCGACGCCATTTTGCCAAACTGAACAAGAATGTAAACATGTTGTACCACGAAATAAAGTGGAGAGCTTCAGCTGTCATACAAGTGAAACATTTATGCGGCTCATGAAACATTTCAAAAACTACACTGAAAGAAAAGTGTCTGAAATTTAACGAAGGCGACCTGTGGACTCTTCGCAGACTACAAGGTTGCTGACGTGTGGCCACCGACAAACCGGCATGACACTCAATTCTGACTTATGCGCGAAAATCGTAAACGGCCGATTTAAATGTGCAGTGATCCGAACTGTTAAAACCATAGGATTTTTTGATCTAGATCAAAATAATTTGTCCAGATTAGATCAGACACGAACCAATTCATAAATTATGCATGCGGGTTCATGGCTTCGCTAAATATTTCCCGCGAACACGGAGCCAGATGTCAGTAGTGTGCTTTGGTCAGAAAATTTATTGTTTTTGCTATGGTAATTCATGTCGGTTTGTCGGTGGTGTGACCATGGATCGAGCGAGGGATCGAGTACAATGGAGACGACTTCTTCGGATAGCAGAGGACATTTTGGCCTTAGCCTGCTGTGTCAATTTTATATTAAATTGGTGAAAGATAGAAGTCAAGGTGTTAGAAGCTGTGAACATTATCGCTTACAAACTGTGGCCATTTCATTGACTAAATTCGTTGTGGTTTAAATGTTGCGACCGATTTTGTTATAAGTTGAGTCAAATACATGTACAAAGTTTACAGTTCGAAACTGTGACGAATTTAGATTTAATACGTTTCCATTTTCTTTGGAAGTTTTCATTAGAAGTGAGAGTTAAAGATTGAGGGATCAGTTAAATTCAAAGTTATCCATATAGTCAGTACCATACTCAGCAGGTGGCGACCCTACTATCATTTTCAGCTTTATAAGCCATCTTTTCTAGCATTGTGCTGTAAAGTAGCTGAAAACAGCTGCAGATGCAGCTACAAGCAGAAGCTAGCAAAATAGTTTTGGAGAGCGTTTACTCGAGCGTTTACTAAAATTTGTCACAACCATTATTCAATTTGTCACTCGCACTGACTAACATCAACAAATAAACACTAATGTCACTTCAATTTAATCAACTTTCAACTTGAGCTGCAAGACAAAGTTAATATATTACTCATAAAGTTAATATATTACTCATTTGAACGTTTGAAGATTTCGATAAAATTTCACAGAAATCTGTGAAATAATTTCAGTGTGAAGACATTCCCAGCTATTGTCCGCATGAAAGAAGCTATTATCTAGCTTCTAATACGACAAACACGACAAGATACGATTCTGTATCCAAGTTATTAACGAAAGAGAAAGTCGATGAAGAGAATCGATCAATGTTTTTTTTTCCTCTGTTAGGGACATAACACTACTGCGACCAGTAATTTGATCTATTGTAGTATATCCTGTGTCCTTAGTTTAGTGCATGTCGTATTAATCCATCACTATTGTGAAATTATGGAGTATTCGGTTTTGATACGGTTGTCAGTCATTCTTGCCTTCATCGCAAGGAATCGATTCTAATTGAAAGGTCCCGCTCTTTATACCCTTCGAAGAGTGAGAGCACTCTCCAAAGGCGCGCTCTTCGTCAGTTAAAATTGGATTCCTTAGCAACACAATTAAGCAATGACACCGATAATGACCATGCATCAGAACCCTAGTCTTAACCACTTCAAACTAGGGAGCAACGAATAGAATAACCAACGCATGTTTTCCTTGTTTCCAGATCACCCTCGGTGGACAAAACCGAGTCTTGTCACTATCAACAGGGCATAAAAAGTAACAAGGACTAATATCTACATATATCTACTTTGATTACTGAAAAATCCTGTTCCCCTAGTTTGAAGTAGTCAGGACTAGAAATCGGTGGTCATTCCGTAACATACCGCGAAAAGATTATCTCTATCCACGTTACATGGCATCGATCAATCACAGACAGTTGGTAGTATCGCCACCTGTGGCGCGCATAGTCAATTCCCTTGCGTTTGACGTTTGCACACCACCGCCATCTGTTCAGCGTACTACCCACCACAGTGTACTCAACAGATGGCGGTCATGTTTCAGCGGCGATGTTTTACAGTGAGAAATATTCAATGATGCGAATGCATATGCGAATTATATCCGATTAGGCTCGGAGATAACACTAAATATTTTGATGTTGAGTTTAATTTTAAAAAAAACTACTCATTGATCGAAGGGAATGTGATATTTAATGCAAAACCCCCGTTGTTTCATATTCAACGAAAATAAAACAATCATGATTCATCTACAGTAAAACAGCAGCGAGGAGTCTTATGTTATAAACCGACATAAGACTGCTAGATCTTGGTGATCAGTAATATCGTTTCGATTACAAATTACCAGTATTTCCGCAAAATAGTAGCGCAATATTTTGCTTAAGAATCGTATTTAGAATACTTATTGCCTATTAGTGCGTTGCACCACTTCCATCATCCGTGATGTGCAAGCTGTCTCTACCATCTCCAATACCCATAAAATAGTGGATAAGTATCGTGCTATCGTTTATGTTTAGAAGAAGCCCTAGACCGACGAAAAGTGGATACCATTTTTCCAATCAAAGAACAGATTGGCACTGATAAAGTCCCAATAGGCCGTCATGTGGAAGCCAATGTTGCTGTAGACGAAAAAGTACTCGCTCAGTGCGAAAAGTGAATACACTAGAATCAAACAATGTTCGTTTAAAATTTAGATAAGAGTAAATCCGAAGCAATTACCTCCCGGTTCACAGTAGGAATTATGCCGCACAAAGAAATAAACTGCCAGCAATATCGAGCAGACATTGGCTAAAAGCAGTCTTTTCTTGTACATCACAGACTTCCGTTCGGATACAGTCAATAGCTCTCCCTCGCGGGTTACCGTATTGATGACGATCACTGTCACCATGTAGATCATCGATGCGACTACGAATGTACTAAAGCAAAATTTGTGCACATCTGTAAAAAAAAAAGCGTCATTAATTACAGCTGATTAAATAAAAAATTGCCACGCCTTACCGTAATTCGACACAGAAGTCCACATCGTCAGTCCGACCAGGGAACTAAGCTCGGTAATGTTTAGAATGCACGCCAAGTAGGCCAGTTCCTTCCGCCTCTTCCGCAGCAGCCCAATGTGAAAGTTTTTATACAAAAATGCAATAGCATATCGTGGAAGAGCATGCACTAGCACCGAGAACTGCCACACGAACCGCTGGGGCTGATAGTTTCCGATGGCAGCCGACAGCGAAGGCAGAAAATTGTACACCATGCAGTGGGTTGCGTTGGCTTGCTCGAAGTTGTACAGCAGGGACCACACAACGCAGAACAGGAATCCCACCACCGGGAACAATACCGTAATCACAGCCAACTTTCCGAAGCGGACTCGGATTGCGCTCCGACCAGACGACTCCTGGCCACCGGAAGCGGGGTCATCGAGCCGCTCGTACTGGGGCAGCATTTTGGGCGGTTATCGCAGGGAGAGCTTTTTGCTGTTTGTCACGTAAAATGTCCGGGTCAATGGAGCCTTGGAGCCCCAGAAAGATTCATATTTTTGCTCAGAGTAACAACACTTACGGCCACGATAGTAAACAGAAAACCGAATGATGCAAAATGACGTTTCCTGACGATATCCGAACGCGATTTGTTGCATTTTTGTTGATGCCGACACTGCACGGTCGATCAGACCACCTCAAAATTGAGTCGAGTGAACTCAATATCGGCAAAAGTGGATTTTGCTCAAAAGTGAGTTGAATTTTCCGGGCAATTACTGTTCCGATGACTGTTGAATCGGAATTTACAGAAAAAAAATCGAATATGAAAAAAATCGATAGAAGTTTCACTCAGCCTATTAGTAACCGGTGGAAACTTACGATTTTAAATTGGTTCACTACTTGACTAGCCTATTGGTCCCAAACAAATCGATTAACGTAGGACATTCTAGTCAAAATTCTAGTACTACACAATGTTTGTTTTGATTCGCTATGAAAGTTTGACAGATAAAATGAGGGGTTCGTGGATTTTCTAATGTTTCGAGGGGTGCATCGATTAGCTACCCGAAAAAAAAATTACAGTGAAATTTTCAGTGGAAACAATGCTCTAACATTAATATTTATTGTCGACAATAAAAATGATTGTTATAATGTTGTACACACAAAGAACAAAAACTGTTGCTTTAAAAATAATGCATGATCAAATTAAAAGTTTCCCAAATTTCGTAGTTTTAACTATGAAAATTTTCAAAATAAAACATATTTTTTTGGGTTAAAAGTGCTTCTTTCACTTTCGGCTTGTAATTTTAAAAGTGTTTTTTTTAGAATAAAAATCGAAAAACTTTCAAAAATCTCTTCATTGCAAAGTTTTTGACAGTACTGGACCACCGTTTCCCGCCAAATTGGACATGTGAAAAAAAAACGAGACCGGCAGCTAACATGATCAGCAGCAGTTTCTTCAAGTTTCCCACATTTTCATCCGCCGGCGCGCTTGTTTATATTCTGACGCTATCGAGTGGAAGGATCGGAAGGATATTCCAGTTACGGGATTTGGAGGTAGGTTGATGAAATTTTCGAATACTTTCGAGCTTGCTTCCCATTTTACTAATTTATGTGTTTTGAGCAGCCTCGTCAGTCTTGTCGGAAAAGAAGGCTACTCCCACCATCACCACCAACTGTATCATTTGCGTAAAATGCTTCCAATGGAAGATTCCACAATGCAGTGCCGTTTCAGTCATCATCAAAAATATAAATAAACGAAAATACATTAAATAAAATATTTCTATTGTTTTTTTTTCAAAGCATATAGCTGTCGAATTAAAAATAATTCATATTTGAGATCAAAACATACATCGTTGCGATAAAAATGCCCATATTTTAAATTAAATCCTTTCGTGAGTCTATTTAAAAACATGGATTTTTATTTTGACAGTTCTACAATTCGATTTAAAAGTTTCTACTTTTAAAAGTAAAAAACGAGTTATTTTTGAATTGACAGTTGGCTGACTTTTGTTTTGAATGCAAAAGACTTTCTACCAAAAAGAACCAACGCAAACTTTCAATTCTACCAATGGTTTTTTCAATTTAATCAATGATAATTTTTTGTGTGTACCAACAATCAATACGAAACTAACGATTTTAAATTGGCTCACCACTTTAGTAGCCTATTGGTCCCAAGAAAACGATTAACGTACCCTATTCTAGTTGAAATTCTATTACTACACTATGTTTGTTTTGATTCGCTATGAAAGTTTGACAGATAACATCAGGGGTGTGTGGATTCATGCAGAACATGCAGGGGTGAGTGAAATAGCTGTGTCTGGTTCGTGAAAGTTGCCAATTCGTTGGTTTGTCTAGTAGCGTTTAATTTAGCGATTATAACTTCAGGCTGATCAGGCTTGAAACATTTCTGTTTTAACCTGTTTATAATTGTAGGGATGTCAGCAGGGTCTTCTCCAACCGCTGACCTTGCTTTTCCTTCCAGTTTTGATAAAACAACCTGGATTGACAAAGCACGATTGTTGTCATTAATGAGTGTATCTATAGCAGTCAATGCTGCTACCACACTATTTAGTTTCTCGGTTGATCCATCATATGATGGTAAAAGTGAACTTATCACTTTTATTACTTCAATATTATTTTCCATTTTTTCTCGAATATTTGTTTTTACTTTTATTACGAATAATATAGCTTGTGCTATTGTTTTAAATTTTACTTAGTGTGTGTTGAGTTCTAAACGACAATTTATAAAATCAATTGTTTCACTATATATTTTTCGTACTGCTGCTAATAAAAATTTATCCTCTTCTAGTAAATCGAGGAGTTTATTGTAAACTATTTTACTTTCATTAAGTTTATTTATTAACGTTGATTTTAGGAATTTTCTATTGGGCGATTTTTTTAAATTTTTGTGTATGGCCGTTAGTTTTTTGACCAATAAATCTATTTCGATTTCTAATGTCATTTAAATGTTTAATACACTGAAAATTTACCACTTCTCATAACTTCACTTAAGTTGTTTATTTCGTTTGTTATTAATTTATGCAAAAATATAATGTCATTATTGTTATTAAGAAAACTAGAAGTTAACACTTCATGGTTAATCAATGATCATCAAATCACTCACACTTAAATAAACTAGTTTTCGATTAATTAAATTTAAAATTATTTTGTACTTATCTTACATCCAGCTACATCCTTATTGTCTCGATGGTATGATGGAGGCGCTCTCCTCAACATCATGTTGCGTCGTTCTAGCTGCTCACATCCCGCTTCTTGCCTGTTGTTGATCTGCCTTCCGCCGTTTTACTTTGCTTCCACTTTTAGGCTCTGAACCATTTGGTGGATTATTTTAACTTTTGGTTAAAATTTGACAGATGAAAAGTTATCGATTAACCCTGCTATCCGAGCATGGTTATTTCTGACAGACAAGAAGTTAAATTTTGACAACCGTGGCTCGAAAACCGGTTGATCGACAGCACGGGGATTTTCGAACATAGAAAATAACTTTCGAAATGTCACTTTTAACCACGAGTTAAATTTAACTCGGCAAATGGTTCACAGCCTTAATATACCAATCCGATAACGATTCCTCCCATTTTATTGTTCAGGGCATCACTATGCGTCATTATCCCCTGCTTGGTGGTTAACAGTATGACACCACTCAGCGAAGGGAGTACTTTTCTGGCCATCGTCTTTAGGTCCTTTATTGTTGCACTCGCGGTGAGTTTTTTCTGACCCGTATGTTCGGTAACGTCATATAGTGGGCTAAACTCTACTGCTTCGATAGTAGGTTTAATTGTTATAACCGCACTGTTTTCGACTACTTCTATAAAGTTGTTGTCCACTAGCACTTGGACAAAAATTTTCATTGAGTTTGTTTTCTTCACTGTAATCACGCTGTTTATTTTTTTAGTCGCGTTTAGTTTTTTTAAAGTGTCTCTTAACACTTCCATTACTGCCTTGTTCTTTTCATTTCGCACTCAGCACATTGGTTAAGGACACAGCAGTCTTGATCGTTTCGTTTGTCTTCAATCTTTCGTGCTTAATCACTGCACGCATAATTATATACGCGACACCAACCACTATTATTGCTAGCGTCACATATGCTAGTATTGACGTAGCGTTGGCTGTTTTCTCCAAATGCGCGGTTTGATTTGTGTTGATTATTTTTATGATATCTTCATGATTCGTTGGGGGTTTTTCAGTGGACGGTTCGTTCCCCATTGTTGCACTTTAAATTCACTTATTCTTCACTTTTGCACGGTTTCGTGCCACTATTGTCGGTCGCCATAAACTACGCTTCGTTGTAGTTTCAAAAGAATCGTGTAGACTTCATGCCTGGGCTTTCTTTGCCAACCTACAGGTCTTAACCCGTAGGAGTAAGAAATACTTATTACTTTGTTCAGAGTAGTCGATTGGCCAAGATCGGAGAACCTCCGGTTGGGTTGAGCTCAGAACGAATAATCCTGTTCGTATATTTCAGCGTTTCTTATTTATAGGGGTTATCGAATACAGTTTTCCTATGAGACAGCTGGGGCGACATCAATAAATGCATCCTTTGCAGTTTTACAAAATTGGGTTTTTTCGCCTAATAAACATAAAGCACTGCGGCCGGTACGGGTTTCGCTGTGCGAGGTAAAAAGTGGTAACGAGTAGAGAGACTGAAGTAGAGACACAGAAGGTGTGCTTCTTTAAGCGTAATTATAATTTGCTGTCTGTGGGATATGTATGTAAATTAGCTATGGGTTTGTTCTCATGCTACACTCTCGATGGAGGAACAGAAGATCTTTTTCGTTAGTAAGTAAAATTAAAACCACATACTATTATTACTATTATGTTAAAACTATTATTACTATTATTATTATTATTATTATTATTATTATTATTATTATTATTATTAATTTCTATTATACCCAAGTAGCCATAGGCACGTTATTTCGCCTTTTTGGCTATATACGGGCCTCATCAGAACTTGCAAACACTGGTATAGCCGTTGTTCGCCAAAAAGGCGAAATAACGTGCCTATGGTTACTTGGGTATTGTTTAGATGGTTCTCGAGATGAACGAAGATCCCATCATGCGTTTTTCCTACGGCCAGCTCGGGCACCACCTCCATCACCATCCATGCGCTATCAGCATTTGTGTTCCCTGCAGAAGTGAAGAGATGCATCGGGAAAATGCATCCACCGAATTCAGAGAATGAAGGAATATGAACTCTGGATACCTTCATGTTCCAAATCACAATGTTGTTAACAGTTTTCCAACACAGACGGAAAATGAATACATATAAAGACATTGTAGCTAATAACATTCGTAGAAAAAAAATAAACCAAATAACCTATTTATCTTATTATTAACTTCAAATTTGAAAAAAAGAAAGAATAATCCATGCATCCATATAAAAAATGCAGTAACAAAACAATCGGTAATTTTTACTGAACAAATTTTAGATCGACTGGTAAACATTTTACAGCATTTTCATTTACAGAGCGGTAAATGCAAAATTTGCAGTATGTATCGGTAAATTTTGACAGCTCAGCTGAATATAAATTTACTGAACGTACTGTAAAACTTAAAAATTACCGAATCGATTCCCTAATAAACAAATACCATAAACGAACTGTATCCCGGATGGGGAAACTATCCCACAAATGGTTTGGATGATACCCCGAACACGTCGTTAAGCTCTCTTTTATGGTTATTTCTATTAGGGTTACCAGGGGTTACCGAATGTTCAGCTGTTCCATATTCGGTAAATATTACAATGTTCTGTAAAAAAAATCTTAGTGTGAATAACTTATCCACAGAACCGTTTCTTGATGTGTTTGTCGTATTGGATGCTAGATAAAAGCTTCTTTTATCGATTTATGTGCTGAAAATACCTAGGAATGTCTTTACATGACCGTGGGGATGCAAAGAGAAAGTCGACGAAGAGAATCTGTCAATGTTACTTAGGACCTAATGCAATGTTCAGCTTGAGGTTTTTGCGATTACGTGTATGGTTGGCATTAAAAGAGAAGTACTTTTTGTTTCAGTTAGTGGAACATGTTCATTTGTCAATTTTTCTTAACATGTTCCACAAACATTTTGTTTTGTTTGTTTTTATGTCAACTTGTCACTCTGGTATAAACAAGCCTCTCACGACGACAGTATACGGAAATACGGATTCATACCTTCGAATCGGAGTAAATCTGGTTTAAGTGCAACGGTTTACAGTGTCCTGGGAAACCACAGACATGTCCTCATCACCCGGCGATCGCCGTTATGCGTTTGATTCACCGGAAAACAACGACGGCGCTCCACTGTACCAAGGCAGCGACAACTTTCTGCCGCTCGGATTCAGTACACCACAGCATCGGAACAGCGGGCCAAGCTCACAAAACCGTAACTACTACTCCGCCCAGCCCAAGTACATGCTTCCACGCCAACGAGGAGGATTTCACAATCGCAATAGAAACCAATACCACCAGCAACATCAGCAGCAACAGGATAACAGTGGTGGGGGGAATTCTCCCGCAGCTGATTGCGAGGAGCGACCAGCGGAGAGGAGAAAGTTCCACAACCGAGACTGGACGGGACAAAACTACAATCAACGACACCACAATCGACCCCATCATAATCAGCAGCATCAGCGAAGGAATCGTTTCGGATTCGGGCACAGTCAGGTGAATTGGAAAGTACGACTTTTCGACAGTTTATTTTTTCTAAATACGCAAAATCATTTCAGAATAAGAACACCAGCGGAAATTACAACATAAACGACTACTTCCACCCTTCGATGTTGGAGGATCCTTGGTTACAGCTGGTGCAGCAAAACGAACGAGAGAAAACCGTGGAAGGTGATTCCAGCGATGCTGGTGACGGACGAGGAAGCGGTAGCGACGTGGGGGAAGATTAAATGGACAGAGGAGATGATTTGCATGTATGAGGGTACCTGATGCATGATTTGAATTTTAATTGAGTAATATGAATATATGTATGCTGGACTGGAATAAACCGGAACTTTGTGTTTTCTTGAAATAAACCAGATTTTAAGACCTGATGTAGTGGTTCAGTTGCCATGCCTCTTACGCTGAGTCACGAGTTCAAATATCATCCCGGAAAATTCCTAATTAATTTTGTGTTGACGATTTGTAGTTCAACCGTTTACAACATAACTTGAAAGTGCACAACAATTTGAGTTTCCCCAAATTAACGCTCCTTTGAAATTTTGGCACTGAATTGTTTTGACGTTCCCAGTGTATTGAGCAATGAAATTTATATGCCTAACTTAAGTGAAAAGCTAAATTAAAATGGTTTATATAACAGTTTTGGTCATCAACGAATGAACAACAAATACTTGTAGTTAATGATAAATTATTATTATTTACATACACTCCAATGTTGAGTCAACTGAACTTAGTAATGAAATCAATTGATCTCAACAGTTACTGTGGAATTGAACATTTAAAATATTTCAAATTCGTACTGCTTAATTGATATACTTCACGAAATAAAACCTAAATGATCCTCACAAAAAAGAGAACTTGTAGCGATGCAACGAAATGAATAGTTAGTTTGTTGAACAAGTGATTGTGAGGGGAAATCCTCGAAATGAACCTTAAGCTTACCCGAATTGATTATTGGTGTTTTTTTCTTTTGATGTTCGCTATCGGAAGGCTATGCTCCACTTTACGATTTTTGGAGAAGCTCTCGTAAACGTTGAGAAATTTGTTCCGTTCGTTTTCCTTCACATAGAACGGTGGCTTGACGGCCATGGCCTCAACCGGATTACTCTTCCGAACCGCATAACTGCTGGGCCTTGCTGCTGCCGTAGTGGTAACTGGACGAGCAGTCACACCCGGTGAGCGCTGAGGACTAGGACCGAATTCGATGTGACTCGCAATGTGCAGTTTATAGTTCTGTGCATCACGGCAGTCCAGGTCACACTTGGGACAAACGTAGATGCCATTCAGTTTCATGTGATCGAGGATTTTGTGCACCAGGAATCCCATCCGGAAGGCATACTGATGGTTGCATTCATCGCACTGGTAAACCCGCTGTCCAGTGTGTCCGTTTAAGTGATCTTTGAATCGAGCAAAGTGCTTGAACTGTCCATCGCAACTGTCGCAGTCAAACAACTCAGTCTGGAAGTGTATCTTCTTGACGTGTCGATTCCACGCATGTATATCCGGAAAGTTTCGACCGCAATACTCACAAGCCTGCAGAAAAATCCAATAATACCTATTCCAAATTACACAACTTAAAAGCCTACTCACCATGTCCCGGATTTGCACCTCGATCCTTCTAGCGTCGACGATGTGATGCTTCAGATCTGATAGTTCCAGCAAAATCAGAATCTCCTGATTGGCGGTAATTAAATCATTCCAAATATCGGACAGCTCCATTGGCTCCACCCTAAAATATTCTTCCGTTTCTGCTAGTTGTTGCTCGACATCGGTCAGTTCTGGTGCTTCGTCCGAATCGGACCCAACATACCCAGAAACTATCGTATTTGGCTGCAAATATTGAAACTCCGGTTCGTCATCTGGCACTAGCACAGCTTGATCGCTGTCATCCTGAACTTCTTGAATGTAGTAAATGTCCTGTCCGTCAACAATAACTGACGATCCGTACTCAGCCGGATCTTCCTCTAGGGCAGCTGATGGCTCAGGGGCTTCAACGATCTGCGGTATCATATCCGCAGCAGGTAATACCCTTGTCCCATTGCGGGTACGTTTGGTTCCTCTTCCACGGCGAGCATACTGCATCGGTTGGCCATTATTGGACACACTTCTCGACGAAGACGACGACGGCGGTTCCTGGTAGTTCATCATCAGCTGTTGTTGGTGTTGTTGCGGTATTTGAGCGAGAAGGTGCAGTTCGTCATCCAAAACAATCATACCATCCATGGCACTGGTTCGAGTTTTACTGAAAAACCATACTTTCAGTCAAAATCATCAACGGAAAACGAGGTAATTTTTCGATTTGATTGGAAAACTTCTAATTTCCTTAATTCACATGAGAAGAAAACAAAACACTTTCTGGAAGAAACGACAGCGTAATGCAAGCGTTGATTGGTGCACTTCCATCAATGACATGCGATGGGTGGAAGGAGATTGACTGGCTGATTCATACGATTCATATCGCTCGTCTTGTCGGATTGGTGTCGGCATATTAGTCGAGGGAATCTACAGACTATTTCAATCTTTTCCAAAATGGTGGGTAACTTTGTACACTAATAAAATTCCACACATTTTTATTGACGAATTTCCATGTGAAATTCCACATGATTTTCATGTGGCCACACATAAACAGAATTCACCCAGAAGCGCACATGAAATTTATGAGTCAAATGAATAGTATGTGTGGTTTCACATGGCTTTTATGTGTACACATATTAAGTATGTGTCCGACACATAGATATCATTTGTTGATCACATTGCAAAACATCATGTGTGGGACACATAAAAACAATCTTTGAAATTTTATCAGTGTATTGCTATATCTTTTTCTCACACCGAAATATTACCTATACAGCAAAAAAAATGTAATATCGATCCTCGTATCGATCTATGTAATTCAAGCTGATGTATGAAATAATGATGTAACAGCAAAAAGCAGATACAATATTACATCAATGTATATATATGCTCACTACCGGTACGGACTACAGCGACCGGTGTGGAGAAGAGTGACTAAACTAAAATGAGAGCGCTGTGTGCTGTTAAAATAGTCGCGCAAATGACAACGACCGTTGCGGTTGCTCTTACTTAAAATAGTTCCAGTGTACCAAAATTTATAAAATTCTGTAAATATTTCGGTTCCATTTTTAATGCATACACAATCCAATTGTTTGCACTTTTTTTATCAGTGTAAAGATTTTACCGCTCGTGCCGAAACTGTCGGTATCGCAACTTTGTCGGTAAAATGAGGTAACACTCTTGATAAATTCGCGCGCTCGGGAGCTAAAAATCAAAACAAATTTTTGAATCAACAAAGTGCAGTCGTATTTTGAGCAACTCAGTGCCTGTTTTATGTAAATTAATTTTTTAGATTATAGAAACAATAAAGTAAGATGCCAATATACATAAAAAAGTAAGTATTTTGTCAATAAGTTTGAATTAATATAATATGATTCGAATTGTAAAAATCAATCTTATTTGAAAGTTCACAAGCTGATACAAGTTCTGGTACGCGACATCTTTCGGAGCTTTCCATAAGCTCAGTAAACATTCTTCTGTCAAACGTGTCGTGCAATTCATTTCAGCGAAGTGCTAGTCGTGTTTGTTCAAGTTCCGTGAAATTGTTTGCGAAAATTGTGAGAATATCGCTGGGAATAGTGATAAATTGCGTGAAAAAGTGTTGCTGAAAGTTCCGGAATGGGCCCTCCGAAGAAATCTTCGAAAAAGGACCGCTCGTCCGCCGGTCCCACCAGCGGAAGCTCGACCGGAGGTTTCGTTGAAAACAAGTGGAACAAGAAACGAAGGACTGAAGACGATGCGTACTCGGCGCTGGTAAACGACGACGACGACAGCAATCTGGAAACGGGTGGAGAATTCGTCCCGGAAGCGGCATCCAAAAATGCGGAAAAGATTGACGAAGGCATCCAGGAAGATGAATACGGTGCCAAGGATTACCGCACGCAGATGGAGCTGAAACCGGACAACGCATGCAGGCCACTGTGGGTTGCACCGAATGGGCATATCTTTTTGGAATCGTTTTCGCCTGTATATAAGCATGCCCATGATTTTTTGATTGCCATTTCCGAACCGGTTTGTCGGTGAGTTGTAGATGTGTGGAAGTTTTTGTCGAAACGAAATATATGTGTGATTTTTGTTTTCAGCCCGGAACATATTCATGAGTATAAACTGACGGCGTACAGTTTGTACGCCGCGGTATCCGTTGGACTACAAACGCACGACATAATTGAATATCTTAAACGGCTGAGTAAAACGACGGTCCCGGAAGGGATTCAAGAATTCATTCGTCTGTGTACGCTTTCGTACGGAAAAGTGAAGCTGGTATTGAAACATAACAAGTACTTCGTGGAAAGTCCGCATCCGGAAGTACTGCAGAAGCTTCTGAAGGATCCGGTGATTCAAACCTGCAGACTTCGACGAACCAACGAGGAAGGGGAGGAATTCATAACGCAAACCTTGGATAAGAAGCCAATAACGGCATTCGGAACGACCAAGATTGGACCAACGACGACGGTTCCGGCGACGACCGAGGCTGAGAAACCATCTGAAGCAGAAGCGGCTGTGGTAGTTCCAGATGATATTACCAACTTCTACGACAAAATGGACAATGAGGAGGAAGAAGAGGAAGCGAACCTCAACACAGTTTCGTTCGAAGTCAACCAAGAGAAGATTGAAGTTCTTCAGAAGCGTTGTATTGAGATTGAATTCCCTTTGCTGGCAGAGTACGACTTCCGGAATGACACAGTAAACGCGGACATCAATATCGATTTGAAGCCGGCTGCTGTATTGCGTCCATATCAGGAAAAAAGTTTGAGGAAGATGTTTGGAAACGGTAGAGCTCGTTCCGGAGTCATTGTTCTGCCTTGTGGTGCTGGTAAATCTTTGGTCGGCGTTACGGCTTGCTGTACAGTTCGAAAGCGTGCGCTAATTCTTTGCAACAGCGGTGTTTCGGTTGAACAATGGAAGCAACAGTTCAAGATGTGGTCCACTGCAGACGACAGCATGATCTGTCGATTCACTTCGGAAGCGAAAGATAAACCCATGGGTTGCGGAGTTCTGGTCACGACCTATTCCATGATCACGCACACTCAGAAGCGTTCTTGGGAGGCGGAACAAACCATGCGCTGGTTACAAGAACAGGAATGGGGCATCATGGTTCTGGATGAAGTACACACCATTCCAGCGAAAATGTTCCGTCGTGTCCTAACCATTGTCCAGTCTCATTGTAAGCTTGGTCTAACGGCCACACTGCTTCGAGAGGACGACAAAATTGCCGATCTGAACTTCCTAATCGGGCCCAAACTGTACGAAGCTAACTGGTTGGAACTCCAGAAACGAGGCTACATAGCCCGGGTGCAGTGCGCCGAAGTTTGGTGCCCCATGGCTCCGGAGTTCTACCGGGAGTACCTCGTCACTAAAACATCCAAAAAGATGCTTCTGTACGTCATGAACCCGGCCAAGTTCCGTGCCTGCCAGTATCTCATTCGTTACCATGAAAAACGTGGCGATAAAACTATCGTCTTCAGCGACAACGTCTTTGCCCTCAAGCACTACGCTATCAAAATGAACAAGCCTTACATCTACGGTCCAACTTCACAGAGCGAACGAATCCAAATCCTGCAGAACTTCAAGTTCAACCCGAAAGTCAACACCATCTTTGTCAGTAAAGTCGCCGATACCAGTTTTGATTTGCCGGAAGCGAACGTCCTTGTTCAAATTTCGTCCCATGGTGGCTCTCGTCGTCAGGAAGCACAGCGTCTTGGTCGTATCCTGCGTGCCAAGAAGGGTGCCATCGCGGAGGAGTACAATGCCTTCTTCTACACCCTGGTTTCGCAGGACACACTAGAAATGGGCTACTCCCGGAAGCGACAGCGTTTCCTGGTGAATCAGGGCTACAGCTACAAGGTGATTACCCACCTGGCCGGGATGGACGAAGATCCGGAACTGTACTACAAAACGCGGGACGAACAGGGACAGCTGCTGCAGCAGGTTCTTTCCGCGTCTGATATGGACTGTGAGGACGAGAGAATTCCCGGCGAAGGGACGGGAGCACCACGGCCGGGAGGCTCGAGGCGGACCGGTGGGCTTAGCTCGATGTCCGGTGCGGACGATGCGGTTTATTGGGAGTATAGGAAGAAGAAGGAACATTTGCATCCGTTGTTTAAGAAGTTTAGAGGTTAGGTTACGGTGATTCGTTGGTCATGTGATTTTTTTTTATATATTCCGAATAAAACTTATGCTGTATTATAAGACAGTTGTTCTATAAGATCTCTTATTTTCTAATTCCGAATAATATCAGTCATATGCTATTGAAAGTTCCCGCAAATCTGACACTACTCGGTTTGGTCCACATTTATGCCACGGAATATGAAAGAACAATTATTATCGCGTCACTTTTCAAATAGACTAATTTAACGTATCCACCATTTTGAGAAAATCGAAGTTGAAGTTCGACAGATTATTATTTTAACTGTTTAGAAACAATACATTTTACAATACTACTTTTAATGTAGTCAGTGAATAATAACGTGAAAATTCAGTAGAAACGGTAAAATCACAATTTTACTTTGAATTTCATACTACAATATAGAAAAAAAAAACCACACAGGACGTTTTTTTGGGGCCTCCCTTAACTCAGTCGGTAAAGGCGCAGCTACAAAGTAAGACCATGCTGGAGGTGGCTGGGTTCAATTCCCGGTCCGGTCTAGGAATTTTTCGGGTTGGAAAATTTCTCGACTTCCCTGGGCATAGAAGTATGTATGATTGGACTTGACACACAATTATGCCAATGCAAAAATGGTACAGACATCGAAAGCTCTCAATAACTTTGGAAGTGCATCTAGAACACTAAGTTGAGAGCGCGCAGTAAGCTAATACACTGAAGTCTTTTTTTACACGGTTTTTTTTACGACGATTTTCGAAATAACGCGGTTTTTTTTACGCGGTTTTTTTAAATAACGCGGTTAAAGAGCCAAAACATTCTAAGTGTTTTCTGAGGAATGGACTTAGCCAAAAAAACAAACTTGGAAGTGTACTTCGAGTGGATTCACCGGACAACATGGGTACATACATATTTTCGGAACGGGAACGACGTGTAGAGGCCGGAAATCGATGATTTATGCCATTTTGGAATTCAAGATGGCGGCTTCCGGTTTAGCTTAGCTTAGCTTAGCTTAGCTTAGTCTGACTGCACGTATCGATAGTTGCACTCCGTGATTGATCTGAACCAGTGAAATTGTACAAAGAATCAACTGAATGGGGCTTGGGAGTAACCTGCCATTCTCAGTGTACATGTTCCAGTGACTCCTACCTTTAAAGATCAATAACGTCACCGGCCACGTCCTTGCAATCAGGTGGGAGAGGGAAGGAATGTTAGTGTGTGACTTTTGTTGTTTTGGGACCGTGTTTACCTCTGCATCCCACAAAAGTCACAGGAAGGAGGTTTTGTTAGTGGGTTAGGTTCGTTGGATCAGGATTCACCTTGATAAGTGATGCGATCTTTTGTTTTGTGTAGTTATTTATAAGTGTTTTCGATTTATGCTCTAAACAGCCGGCTGTCTAGAGATGTAGATCATTATTAGATGTGTGTATACCGATTTAAACCAACAATAAGGATACTGTTGGGGCCCCTCACAAAGTGTGATGATGGTTTATTTTATTTTATCAATGACCAAAATAATTAATTATAAGCGGTTTGAACCGATTTAAACCAACAGCAAGGATGCTGTTGGGGCCACTCACAAAGTGTGATGGTGGTTTACTTGATTGAATATAAAATAATTATTAGAACCGATTTGACCCGATTTAGACCAACGGCAAGGATACTGTTGGGGCCACTCACAAAGTGTGATGGTGGTTTATTTAGTTCGGAAGAAAATGAATATGTATACTTCTTTTTTTTATATAATAGAACGAATTTGTACTGATTCAAACCAAAAGCAAGGGTTCTATTGGGGCAACTCACGAAGTGCGATGGTGGTTTATACTATAAGGGCATAAAACAAAATCAAGAGCCATTTCGGTTTCCATAGCTTCCTAGACACTCGGCCGCAAAATAATCTTATCCGACGGAAACGTCTCGATCATCGCGCGATTTACCGTATTGATTCAAATTCCGAACAGTGCGTTAAAATCATCCTTTGAAAAACACCTTTTTTACCTAAAATATTGCTGATCCGCTCAGAATGTATTTAAACTCACGACTTATCGTAATATGGACATCCTAAAAGAAAAATTTTCAAAATCCGTCCCATACAAAAACACAAGTGCTCAGAATTTGAGCGTGTTCGTAATATGAATCAGAACGGTACAAACTGTAAAAATACCATTATACAATACATACTGGTATCACGTATGCCCCATTCACATTCACTCATGCATTTTGGGTTCATGCACATAAACTGATGAAACTTTAAGAGAAAAACTCGCGTTGTAGAATTTGAATTGGAACCGGAACGAGTATGGTATTTAAGATTCAATACAGTGTTGACAGAATTGAAAGACCCTCTCCCTTTGTGAATAAATCGTGTTTATTATTAGTATTGGTATCGTTAACTTTTATAAAAACCATATAAATCATTTTGCTTTGTTTAGAGGTTTTATTACGGCATTTGAATAAGACTGTCCTGTCATTTGTAATTCAAAATTAATGTTTTAATGATCAACATAGTTTTGGATTATCCAATATAAATCGGCAACACTGTGACACGCACGAGCGGTGTGGCTTGAGTTGCTTGGCAACGGTACTTATTTACTGTTACATCACAGCTTGCTTCGTTCTTTCTATTCCAGAGAAACTGTATTTTACTTTGCTGACCAGAATTTTCAAGCGTTACTAAATCAAAGCTTTTGAATGAAATATTTCAAGACCAATGCAAAAGCTCATAACATAACACAAATAACGTTTTGCATTTCACGCTCAAAGAATACAACCCAAAACCGTTAAATGCGTATCGTTACTCCCGTTGTTGACTGACGGGTTAGTACATATGAGTGCAATCCCATGACCCAGAATTTTTAGTAAATTAATCATTCAAACACGATTCAAAAATCAACTAACGCGTATTTTATAAACTACTACACTACCGTCCTCTGTACTAAACTATGTGACATACCATTACCAAAACTAAGTAATCCTATCCAAGCGTGCCGCTCGATCCAATACGATCCTCCAGACTGTCAAAAAAAAAATTCTAGTCCACTACTCACAATCGCAAAAAGTGCAGGAAATCTGCAACGAGCAAAAACCGCCCCACATTCTCCCGTGGAAAACCCCAAAAATCTGCCGTAAAATGAGGAAAATTGACGAAAATTCCACTCAGTCTAGGAGTAGTATCAATAGAGTGAATGACTTTCTTCCTTGGAAAACATTTGGCAAACCTACCCATCACCGACCTCCAGCACCTCAAGCGACTTATGAGTAAACCAAACTCAAAACCCGGGTCTCTCCCATTCGCCGTGTGTTTCATCGGAAAATCCTTTGCTAAGATAAAAGCTTCCTGATACAACACCTGTACGTGACGTAGTCAGCAATCTCCATATCAAAGCCAGTAACAAAAACAAACATAGATTTTACCAGCTGAAAGCGCGAACGTCAACAAGTAAATCGACAAAAAATTTATATCAACCATCAAAAGCATTGTATGGCTTATAATTCCATTCAATCCACCTCCAGGAACAGGAAAATCGTCCAAAGGATCAATCAAGGAACAGGAAAATTGACCAAAGTCGTCAAAACGAACGGGGACCAGACCAAAATTAAAACAATATGCATTGCGCGGTACTTATCTGACAGCTCCTTCCAACCGGTCCATTCGAAAACTGCAGAAAATCGTGCTTTTCCATAGGTAGTAACTGGACAGTCCGTCCATGTCGATGGCTGATTTGTAGCTGTCACCATCAAGCGTTACTTTCCTCTCCAAGCGTTACCAGACAGTTCCAAGTTTCTTTCCGAAACCTCATTCAACTTATGTATATTTCCACTATTTTTTACACAACTTTCTCACAAACTAGACTGAACTGAACTTTAATTACATTAAACTGTAATTTAGACACCATCTACATATTATTCCGAATCAAAAACACTACAAAATCACTCAATTCAAGAGGACGAAAAATTCCTCCGAACTTTCACTTCTTAGCAGCGTTGCCAGTCCCTCTCAAGATGGCGGCTTCCGGTTTTGTGAAAAACTGTCAAATAGCCAACAATATGGATATTTTAGGAACCGAGACGACATCCAGAGGCTGGAAATCGATGATTCATGCCATTTTGGAATCCAAGATGGCGGCCTCCGGTATTGTGAAAAACTGTCAAATAGCCAACAATATGGATATTTTCGGAACGGGAACGACGTGTAGAGGCCAAAAATCGATGATTCACGCAATTTTGGAATCCAAAATGGTGGCTTCCGGTTTGTGAATGTTTCAAAAAAAAGTTATGCAACAAATTTTAATTAACTTTTTTTTTTCGATAATCTGTAATTAATCTTCTTACATTTACAAGAACTTCATAAATTCGATGTTGAACAACATGTGATACCGGTGACTTGGTTGTGGAATGCATGTAGCACTAGATTTTTTTTTTTTTTTTTTTTTTTTTTTTTTTTTTTTATTATAGAGATTTTTAGCCTGAGGCTAGTTCATCTCTTAAGGGTAGCACTAGAGGTTATACAGGTACAAGTGGTAATGGCCTGCCGAGATTTGCTCAGCCGAGCTCGGTAGAAAAAAAAAAAAAAACTAAGTGTGTGGATAGTACTTAACATAACAGGAACTGGGGTTGAAGTTTTCGCTGACCGAATAGTCAAAGTCATGAAACACAGTGAACGAAGAATCCTTGTCACTGAAATCGATGTTTAGCCAATAAGACATCATGGACACTGCCACTACCAGTGCACGGTATGTACTGAAGTAGACCCTTTAAATTAAACTTCAATTTAAATTCCACTGTTTGACATGGTAAAAAAAAAATGTGGTATACATGTATGTTCTGCAAAACCATTTCATCCATTACTAATTGAGAGAGTCGGCTCAACATAATCAAGGCGCCTTTAGAAAATGAGCACCAATCACGTTAGGCAGACCGAATGACCGAATAACCGAAGTAACAATCATGTAGCCATCATTTCAAACTGTAAATTGGACAAGTTTTGACCAATGATTATCTTAAATAAATGAAAATAAATTTGGATAGGTGTTTTTATATCACATACAACGATAGAAGAGCAATAAGTTGAATCGCTTAACTCGATTTGTTTACATTTTTTTACTTATTACCTTTACGTTAGAATTCATGATTACGTTAGAATTCATGATCAAAAAGAAGGGAAAATACTCATTCAAGTAGCGTTACCTCTAGATTCTGTTGAATAAAATTATTCTTTCTTGAAGTTCTTGTGCATAACAACCTTTGCAATTCTCTGCATACCACGTTAATTGGGAATCCCGTCCAGCAAACTCTTAATATTTACTCTATAATTATCTTAGTAATAATTCTAGTGAGAATGCGCTTAAACTTTGCTCCATAATTCTCTTGAAAAGATACACTTTGGACATTTACGATTGGAATATTCCTAAGAATTCCCTTCACCTTGGAAATCGAAACAGAATTCTCATGGAACTCTCGTCAGGATTTTGACGTAGGATTACGTCTTTCGGCAACATATTGAAGGTGCAATTAAAAAAAAAAAAAAACTAAATCGACCGCGTTACGAAACATGATCAAGTTTTGATCACTTATAACTCTGTCAATAGCGGATGGATATTAATTCTAAGCAAGCCAATCGATTTGAATGTCATTTACGAATCTGCTAAAATGAAAACTTTATCAATTTTCAAATGGTTACTATTGAAAATTGCAACTGTTGCTAAAATAATGAAAATTATCACCGATTGACTGCGAAAAGAGCTTCCCCTAACACAGATTTCAAAATCGAATTCACTCCGGTCTCACCGAACGGTGTTTATGCAATCACCGTGTGTGGTGAGTGCATGGTGGTGTCCAATGGTCATCATCAGCAGCAGCCGCAGTACTTAAGGCGCCTGGTTTGTAGATTGTTCTCCAGTACACGACGAAAGGCTGCCCGCAAGCAGCAAGCTTGTCCATGCGCTGAAGTTCGTTGAGCGGTCCATGCGCTGAAGAAAGAGGAAGAAGTTGCACCGGTACTGATCGGATTTCAGTTGCTCGTCGTGAGCCGCTGTGGCCCATCTATGCCAAGCGCGTCACCGTTCCATACAACATACAGCTCGCCAACCTTATATGTTTAAAACACCTTAATAGTTCAGCATTACTGAACCATCAAGTGGTCACCAAACTGTTCACCAATCGATCCAGGTGCAAGACATTAGCACCGTTATCATCTCCAAGAACTCGAGGAAATAATTCCACAGCATTGTTCTAAACTGAGACACATCTTCCAGGATTGGCTACAAGGAAACCGACAGAGCACGAAGGGGGCGACACATCTAAATCTCAAGTCTAGATGCTCAACAAATCTCACCTTAGCGAATCAATCTTCGAAAAATCTTCTTTCATTTCTAGCATCTACTTGCATCGCGCATCATCTTTTTGCAGAAAACCTTCAGAATCGTCGTCAATCTTCTTTCTATCTACTCAGCATGCGCACAGCTAGCCACAGCAAAACACAATCTTTCCTGCATCGTAGATAGAGTCGTCTCCCTCGCAGAGCACCTCAAAAACAGAACTCTCAAACTGCTTCCGAATTTCAACCTATCGAACTTTTCCACTGATAACGAGATGAAAAATAAATTTAATATTTAGGGTAGAGCACTACTTCGGCCTAATCACCCATTTTGGGCCTATCTAGCAGAAAGCTTCAAATAAATCCATGATTTCAGAATTAACAAGTCAATTGTGCGTTTGGTACGATACTTTAGTTCACGGCGAATGAGAACGACTCAAATTTGAGTTTAGTTCACTCATAATCGTCAAAAGTGCAGGAACTCAGCGATGAGTAAATTTGCCTCATGTTTTCCCAGGTTTTCCAGGGAAAAAATCCCGAATTTGAGAAAAGTAAAGATTGGATTCACTCAGTCTATTGGTACTACTCCGAGACTGAATAAAATTTTCGTCAATTTCCTCATTTTCCGGCAGATTTTTTAGGTTTTCCACAGGAAACCATGAGACAAATTTAACTCAACGCTGCGTTCCTGCACTTTTGGCGATTATGAGTGAACTAAACTCAAATTTGGGTCGTTCTTATTCGCCGTGTTAATAAGCTACGGAACGAAGCCAATGAGAACACGTGATATGAAGGTTTTTACCCATTATTCCCAAAAATAAAAGAAGCGCTCTGCCGGCGCTGGTGGTGTAGTGGTAAGCGTAACACCCCAACGGGTCTGGGTTCAATCCCAGCCGAGGTCGGTGGGATTTTTCTGAGGCATAAAAATCTCTGGTCACGTCTTCCTTCGGAAGGGAAGTAAAGCCGTTGGTCCCGGCCCATGTGTGTTAAATGGGTGCGATATCCTACGCAGGTGTGGAAGCTGCCTTCCTGCACATTCGATTGCCGTCAATGGATGGCAATCGATGTCCGTCGGTGATTGGCACTAGATTGCGGAACAGAGACCGACGTTAAATAAAGGAAGGAAGAATGAAAAGAAGCGCTCCAACCGAATGAATTTGTATCTTCATCCGATAGGCCGAAGTGAATTCATTGGCGTTTCAATGCGTTAGGCCGAGTTTGGAATCCGTAGGCCGAGTTTGGCGTCAAGAACCAGTGTTAGACTTTTGACAATATCTCAACGATTGGTTTCTCTTTATCAAATCTTACGGTTACTGCGCTAGATTAAGAAAGGCTAAGTGCGGGTTGTGTTTAATAGGCCGAAAATGGGATAGTTAACCCTACTATACTTTTGCTGTGACATCAAAACTACCTTTCGTAATCCTACGTCAAATCTACGGTCGTGTCTTGGATACAACCTCTAACTTTTTTTAAATGAAATTCCCTTGAAATTATTTTTACCCTTCCCAAAGCATCCTCCCAAAATTAATTTAAAATTCTGATCTGTTATATTCCTAACCAAAGCCAAAACACGTATACCACCTGTTCGTTTATTCGTTATGAGTCAGGTAAGACAGTAGGCTATCTGAGGCACAAAAAAAAAATCGCATGCCATCAGCTCACTTTAGTGAATCGGTTCTTTTGAACAGATCTCTAGCGTGAGGGGAACTTGTTGAAGCTTGAAACGTTGATGTGTTGTTGTAATGGCTTGATATCTCGTGCAAAGTTGAATAATTGTTGTCCTTTTACTCCAGTCCGAATCCCGAGGGCGACATCGAAGAATGGTGCATAGTGGAACTTCAAGGAGACCTGGAGGTGCGTGGTGATCGAGCCATGAGCGGGCAATTCATTGGCGACTTGCTGTTCAATAAATATGGACAACCGGTAACAAATATCTCTAGCTCTATGCTCCAGCACATATCAACTCAATCGATAATTCCCCACCATTCCCAGATTCTTATCATTGGCCACCACATTCTGCAGGGACGGTTGCAAAAGATCGACAAACCCCTGCTGGTCATGGAAAAGCATGAAACTCGCAAACGTCATGTGACCGAACCCTCCACCGATGATGCCGCCGGAGACGACGAGAACGAAATCATGCTGGACGTGAGCCAGGTCAGTCAGCTCGATAGCACGATAGCCTCCTCCAATCGGACCGTCCTGGATTCGACGCTGGCAGTGGAGCATAAAACCGTCCCCAAAACAGAGTACCTTGTGCGAGCGGTGGTGAAGCACAAGATTCTCTTCAAAGCCAGACCCAAACCCATCATCGCGAATGTGGCGAAAAGCGTTTAGAGATTTATATAAAATCGTGGTATTTATTTCCAATCTGCCATCGAGTTCTAATATTACATCTTTCGGTCATAAAATGTATCCCTATGTGTTCCAGGCGTTTATTTAGAGAAATTCCATTTCCCGCTCGATGCCGACGAACTTGAGCTGCTCCGTTGGCCCATATCTATAGTCGAAGAACAGTTCCTCGCCCGGTTGAATGGCTCGCTTGGCGAAGATTCCGATCCGGTGGTCTCCGTTCACCATCATCACCTTGGCGTAGCAGTTGGGGTTGATCGAATGGTTGGCGAAGCGAATCTTGTTGCCCTTGCGAGTGGCGTCTACCACGAAATCTGAATTTGAAGTTCAAGTGAAATTATGTTGATTAATTTCAAGAAGAGCAACTACTCACCATTGTTTAAGTTGAACAGGAAACTGCACATGTACTTGTCGTAAACCTTGCCCCGGCGATCCGCCTCGTCCTGCGAGATAATTTCACCGCAGTACTCCGATATGAATTCGTTCTTCTGGGCGCTTTCCTTCAGGAATATTCCCCAACCGGCAACGTCCGACGGGGCCATGAGAAGATGTTTGTCTGTTGATTAGAAAGTTGATAATTACTGTCAATGTATGCGTAGACATAGGATAGTGGAAGCTTACGCAACGCCCGCTGAACGCTAACATTCTTGCAAGTAATCTTCGAGATCTCATAGTGTTCTGCACCGCATGTCTGGCACAGATCCGGATCGCATTCGCGAACGGCCAAATAGCATGGGCATTGTTTCGTGTTGCACTGGGCCTTGCAGCGACATCCCGGGAAGCGATTCTGGCAATCGCTGCTACAGTTGCAGAACTTTTCGCAAAAGTTTTGCGCTCCAATGCATGGGCAGTTGGCGTCGCACTGTCCCGGATGATCGCACGGGGTGAAGTTGAACACGTGATTCGAGCTGGAATCCTTCTTCAGTTGAATCTTGCGGCAATGCATCGACCACAGCCGGTGCTTCTTTTTCTTCTTTCGCGGAGGTGTGTTGTCCTTGTTGGCTTCGATCAACGGAATATCGGCCGCCTCCTTCTGGGCGAACATGTACACCTGTTGGCAGGTTTTCATCAGCATTGCCTCCGCAATGGCACAGTAGTTGTTCAGGTAAACCTTGTGCAGCGTCCGGAAGAACGACTTGTCCGAGCCGTTCCATTCTTCGTCGGCAGCTTCGAGCAGATTGAGCAGGGTTGCCGAATTGTTGACGGACCCACTACCGTTGCCCCGTTGGCCATTGCAGGACGAGTCCTTGGTGGACCCAAAGGGAGCTTCCTTGCTGTACCGGCTACTGTCGTTGCTGTCCTCAGAACTGGCTTCGTTGCCCGAGTCCATCGGGGTTTTGTTCTTGTTGTCCACGGCCAGGCGTTCCTTCATGCCGTCCTGGGGATGGAGTTGTTTCAAAATATACCATGTTTAGATTGAAGGCAAATCAAATGGTCATGTCTAGAGGTTATTGGTAAAGGTAAGGGTATGGCCGATGGGCCGAGAATACAAATAGGTTGTACAGGGTGGCCCCTAAACTATCATTTTGGAATTCCCGACTTGTTCCCGTTTCAAACCTGAAATCCTGAATTCTGAAAATTCCTTCAAGGCACCGAGGGGGGCGTCACATCTAAATCGCAATTCTACACGCAGAGAATTTTTGGTGGTTTAAAACAAAAAAATAATATTGTAGTGGTCAACGATCTCTTTATTATTGTTTCAATATGGTATTTTTGTTCAAACATCTTTAATTTTTTTTTTAAATAACAATATTATTTTTTGTTCTCTTGCTCAAATTTCCAAAGCATCAAAATTGTTGATTTAACAAAACGCATGGTTTATTTCAAGGGCAACATAAAATTAATTCAGATACCATGATTGTTGATTGAATTATATTCTTTTGTTTAGTGTGGAGAAGCTAGAAACCGAACCCGTCCTTCGCCATTTTGTTAACGTGCCAGTAAAGTTTTGCGTATCGAAATGTGTTCCGGTTCCGATAATTCAATAATTATTGAAGAACTGGATGTAGAAAAGGTGTCGGTTGAAGAAATCGAGTTGATAAATTTATTGAATAGTTATGGAATGTCCGAACGAGTTATTGAAGCGTTTCTCGGTAGGTAGTATCCTTTTTTATTCAGTTACGATATCCTAACATTATTATTGCAGTTAATTGTTACACCATAAAAACATTGAAAATCATACTGAGGAAGGAAATTGAGGAACTCCTTCCTTCGCCGTTTCTTGTTGATCGAACCAGATTCATTCATGAATTGGACTCTTGGAGGGAGGCACAGGTAAATTATTATCAAATCATTCTTGTTTATTGCAACTAACTAGTTATTCCCTTTCATTACATGGGCTTTCAAAAGTCAGCGAACAACCCGTTACTTGCAATTCATTTGTGACCCGAGACAACAACGCGCGGCCCTCTGAAGAGACTCAAGTGACTCGAGAAGCCTGTACTCCCACCTTCTTATTGAACGCGTCATCGAAAGGGCAAGCCATCCTAAGGAAGTACAGCAAAACCGCGTTCCTCTCCAGAGCTGACAAAAAAACTGTCACCCACATTGTTGTTGACGAGTTCAAAACCCGTTTCTCTAAGCTGTCATCGTCGGAACTTCTGGATAGAGCTTGTGAGCTGAAGCAATTATGGCATAATATACGCATCAAAACAATTTCTCGCTTATTTAAAAAAATAAAATACAAAATACCAGGAATTATGAAAACAACCATATTTATTTATTGAGCTAAATAAATTTTTATTTAAACCAAGAAATAAACATTTTGGCATAGCATAGCATAGCATAGCATATGCGATTGTATAAATCGTGGGTGGCTATATAATGGTCAACTAATACGTTTTGCAGAAAATATCGAGTGTTGACGCAGAAAATATCACTTGGGATTAGTGATTTTCCCCACACGAAAATAAAATCTACAATACAAGCATCGCATTATACACCTGGCCACATCCTTACAATCGCAGGGGAAGGGAGGGAAAGTTAATCCAACATCTACTTAAGAAGGTGCAGGAAGGAAATAGTTGTGTTAGTGGGAGGGTGAATGATTTGGCAACTCTATTCGTCAATATAGAGCATTTGATAAATCAGTGACAAAAAATAAAATATAAATAGATAAAATGGAAAGATCTCACCCGATTGGCCTAGAGACTTTGCAGCGTCATGTTTTCAGAAATGCTTTATTTAATTTTCCTTGAACCACCGCAATCACTCACCAAGAAATAAACATTTTGGGTCCAAAAATTAACTCTGTTCCTTTTAAACACCAGATATTGTTGTTTCTCAAAAAATCATTTTTGCTTTTAAAAAAAATATTGTTACGTGATCGTATCATCCCACTTTTGAATTCAACAATAAATATTGTTGAAACGAAAGCATGATTATTGATGAACCAAAGATATTGCTTTATAAGCCGGGAGATAATACAACTTTTTTGTTGAAACTATACTGAATATTGCTATGTTCATAAATATTTTCTCTGCGTGTAGATGGTCGAAAAATTTAGTAAGCCTATTCTGCGCGGCGTGTGAGGTGAGGTGACTCACTGTCACTAGTTAAGTGATAATTGTCACCTCGGGTGAGGTGACTCTTCATATGAAAATCAAATGGAGAGTCACCTCACCCGAGGTGACAATTGTCACTTCACCATAACTTCATTGTCACCTCACCTCACACGTCGCGCAAAATAGGCCTATGCTATTTGCTGAAGGAAGTGTTACCTCTATGGTGTTACCATAGAGGTAACTCTAAGACTAGTAGGCCCCGAAGAAACGTGCTCAACTTTTTGGCTCAGCTCTGGTACTATCTTCGGTCCCAAGCTAATCGATGCACCCCTCGAAATATAGGAAAATTCACGAACCCCTTATGTTATCTGTCAAACTTTCATAGCGAATCAAAATAAACATTGTGTAGTACTAGAATTTTGACTAGAATGGGGTACGTTAATCGATTTGCTTGGGACCAATAGGCTAATCAAGCAGTGAGCCAATTTAAAATCGTTAGATTCCACCGGTTGGAGATACTGTATACGCAGCTAGTACTGCAAAATGTACAATTTGAGGTACTAGCTTAAAAGGGTACAGTGACAAGGGGTGCTCAACTATGCACACCTTAATTCATGCCGAGTGATTGAGCGTGCCAAGAGCTGTGCCAAGCACTGTGCTGAACGTGCCTACCAAGGTCAATCAAAGTGTCAATATTCAATGAGTTTGGCAACCCTGAAAGCTATGTCATTTGTGATTGTGTTTACATTCTCAATTTCTCTGATCATGGCAAACATTCATCTTCATACTCATTAGAGCGTTAGCAGGTCTGGAGGTGGAAGCGGAACAGGGATTGATTGCTATATTGGCTATACGTTCAAGCACACTTAACGCATCCACAAAATTCTGGCTCGATGTCTCTTTGAACTGTTGATGGACAGGTGTACAAAAAAAAAAGGAGAAATCCGATCGATGATTTTCAGCCTATTAAATTCTCCCCCAGAACCCGAGGGGCACGCACTAGTCTTTCAATACTACGCAGCCTGTTGACCAAGTATTTAAAATCTTGCCATTACTGCATTAATTACTTTAAATACACTCTTAATTTCATTAAATACTTTAATTAATAACAAAATTATATATTTTAGTTACTTTAAATATATTTTAATTATTTGTCATTACATTAACTATCGATAATTATTTGTTGATTACGTTCAATACTGCTTAATGTATTAAAATTAAAATTATTACTGTCTTCAAAGTATTTAAATTACTACTACTTACTGTATTCTAAATATCACTCACTCATACCAGAACCTGAACGGATGAGAGTTCAATCCCACTAGGAACAACATCGTCGAACCAGTTATCAAGTATCTGATCGACGCAGAAGTGCGAATCCTCGAAGATATCACTCAAACCTATAGCACAGACAAACATACATAACACTCACAATCACATTCATCACAAATAATGTTTTAGTTGGGAATGTGCTTGCATTTGTCATGGTGGCGCTACTGAAGCATTGAGCAAGCCACCAAATTTCGAACTTATCAGTGATGCCAGTTCTTTTTCACGTCTAGTTAGTAGATATCAGCTCTTGAAAATTAGAAATACTCAGAGGGAGACATAGGCGGAGAAAACAAAATACAATTCGGCAGCAAGGATTTGTATCTAAATTATCTAGCAACCCTTGCTAAAACTTAGCATTTCACATGACTTTTACTTTTGATTCGATTTACGTGTAAATTAATAATTGATTGCATCGCAATATTTTGCTCATTTTTTGGTGCCATTAATTAACCGACTAAGATCAATTAGTCAATAAAGCTAGAATATTGCTTTTGATTCCAAAAACTAGTTGAATTTGAGAAGCAGACGAAACATAAAGGTGATTGAATTTTTGTTCGAATGCAATACTCTCAAATTTAATCTAGTAAGAATAAGAAATCCTCGGAAAAAATCTAATGGGAATGTTCGTTTGGCTCAGATTTTGACAGTTCATTTGGCTCAAAACATTCTCTCCGCTCATCTCTCCTTCTAGTATTTCCATTGAAAATGATAAGTGGTCAAGGCATCCCACTGGAGACACATACCACATCTGACAAATACAGAAAAAAAAACTGTTGAATAATACATCAAAACTGCTGCACATTAGTCTTTCCGTTCCTAATATTACGTTGTACGATGTACACAGAATTCGAGAACAAATCATGTTGATGACTGTAATATTCTATCAATTTTACCCCTTTTAGCAGTTATTGATGTTCAATACTTCACCATGAATTTCATTGATTGATACATATTATATTTTTTTGCTGTACACACTTTAAAGTGATGAGCAGTGGTAGAAAGGGCACTAATTAGTGATACATTACCTCGTTTAAAAACTTGTTTCCAGCAAAAGAATAAGCACACTAAACAAACAAAACAAATCACTAAAAAAAGTCTTACCTTCTGTGAATTTTCCCTATGGATCCTTATTTCTGCAGAATTCAATCAATTCTATAGATCTACGGAAAATTTAGTAGAACCAACATCACTGAATTCCATCTGTTTTGTTTTTATTCAACACAGCTGACGCGTTGATAGAACGAGGGAAAAGCAACTGGTGAAAAATGGCATGAACGGGGGATGCTCTAGTTGCACATCAATGCTTGGGAATGTGGATGATAGATGGTGCTAGCAACAATCAATACGAAACTAACGATTTTAAATTGGCTCACCACTTTAGTAGCCTATTGGTCCCAAGCAAACGATTAACGTACCCTATTCTAGTTGAAATTCTATTACTACACTATGTTTGTTTTGATTCGCTATGAAAGTTTGACAGATAACATCAGGGGTGTGTGGATTCATGCAGAACATGCAGGGGTGAGTGAAATAGCTTGGGACTGCTTGGGACCGTTGTTCTGGTACTGAGTGAGCCAAAAATAATAATGATTTTCTTCGGGACCCAGTGGTCTTAGAGTTACCTCTATGGTATAATCATAGAGGTAGCTCTAAGACTAGAAGGTCCCGAAGAAATGTGCGCAACTTTTTGGCTCAGCTCTGGTACTCTCTTCGGTCCCAAGCTAATCGATTCACCCCTCAAAACATAGGAAAAACCAATAACCCCTCATTTTATCTGTCAAACTTTCATAGCGAATCAAAACAAACATTGCGTAGTACTAGAATTTCGACTAGAATGGGGTACGTTAATCGTTTGCTTGGGACCAATAAGCTAGTCAAGTAGTGAGCCAATTTAAAATCGTTAGTTTCGTATTGATTGTTGATATCATTGTGCTTGCCACACAATATACAAATTCGTGCATTGGTATTGGCATCGAAAGCTCTCAATTAATAACTGTGGAAGTGCATTTAGAACACTAAGTTGAGAGCACGCAATAAGCTAATATGCGCTAAGCAATAAGCTTGAAATGCGAACAAGAAGAAGAAGTCGTGGATTTTCCTAAGTTTTGAGGGGTGTATCGATTAGCTTGGGACCGAAGATAGTACCAGAGCTGAGCCAAAAAGTTGAGTACGTTTCTTCGGGACCTTCTGGTCTTAGAGTTGCCTCTATGGTAGAAGCGCCTGTAGGTCTGTATAGAACTAGAGAAGTTTCCCCTCAATCCATTCAGCTCCACACAGATGATAAATGTTAGCGATTCGTGATTCAAGAGCTTATAATTTGGGATTAATACGTATTGATATCCCCCAGCTGATTGAAGTCCATACTAAATGAAACTAATGACTGGGTATAATATTCGAGGAAGAATGCAGGGCCATCCCAGAAGATCCTCGGCAAACCCGGAATTAGAATCTTGCCGCCTCCCCTATGATAATTTTTTGTTCTTATTTATTGTTCATTCTCCATAACAAAATTGTTAATGTACATAGTTGAAGATGCTAATTTCAAATAACAGACTGTAGTGGTAATTTTTATACGATAGATGGAGTAGATGAAAGCATAGAGTTGATAGTTCCGTTAGAGTACGGCAGTGTGAAGATTGCATATAGATATTAGAATAGCGAGCTAGAACAACTTTTAAGGAAGGTACAAATCGGTTTTTTCATCTCTCTTTACCAAATTCTCCCTTTGGAAGAGTTATATATCGTGGTAGGGGTAAACAATAGTTGCAATTTCCAAACCTACGACTGGATGCCTTCCTTCAAATAACAACTGACCGTTGGTACTTGAGCGGGTTGGTTTTCATCTCTTTTTGTCAGTGGTGGCGGGTGGGGGGGGGGCACCCCTCACCATCCCTCTTCAAAAGGGAATTTGGTAAAGAGAGATGAAAAAACCGATTTGTACCTTCCTTAAATGTTGTTAATGTAGCTCAGCTCTCGCAGAAGATCCTTCATTGTACGCTTCGAAATTGGATACCCACGACGGTACAAAATGTTTAGTTCAAAAATAAGAAACGTATTTTGGAATAAGCCTCCAGTACTTATGTGTAAGGCATGTGGGCGTGAATGGCAGCGTTGGATAAGTTCGTGAGTCGTATTGATTTTTGGAGAAGTTTTCCAATACTGAATGTGAGGCTTCATCGAGCTATACATGCTCGATGCTCACCGTTCCAAACTTAAATCCGATATTCGCAGGATGCATGGTATTCTTCTTTTCGTACGAATAACCGCATAGAGTAGGTTTTCCGCCATCCCCGTTATATAGTTGGGTTCCATTTGCTTGAATTGATGACATTGTTTGTGTGGTCTTCCAAATTTACCATCAAAGACAACTGTCGGGCATTTTTCAATCGAAAACGAATCGTCACTAGAGGTAACCCGTTTCAGCCATCTTGACTGCTGTATCGACAAGACGCTCTCAACCGCCCATGGTGTGGATGAACGAACCTATGGGATTTTTGCTGTGATTCGAACTTAGTTTTGCTAGGTTTGAAGAGATTCACGATTTAAAGAATACCTAAATAGCCACTGAGAAAGTGCTCGGAATGTGGTGGTGCACCGACTCGGATACTTTTACGTACAAAGTAGGATGGACTCGCTACGGACAAGCGCTTTTGGAAGGTAAACGACATCCAACGAAGAAAGTGAGATGTTACGCGTTCTCACGTCCATGTTCGATCCACTCGGACTGATCGCGCACTTCCTCATGTACTTGAAGGTTCTGCTTCAGGACGTATGGCGTTCCGGAATCGACTGGGACGACGAAATCGATGATGCTCTCTTCGACAAGTGGCAAACATGGCTGCAAGTACTGCCACAAGTTGAACAAATCAGCATTCCTCGATGCTACCGCACACGAACCACTCCGGATGGTGAAGATATCCAGCTCCACACGTTTGTAGACGCTGGTGACAGTGGGATTGCTGCGGTCTGTTATCTGCGCTTCGCTCAAGACGACGTAGTGGAATGCCGATTGGTGGCTGCTAAAACCAGAGTCGCTCCGTTGAAATTTCTATCCACTCCTAGATTAGAACTTCAAGCAGCGTTGGTTGGCGCCAGGCTAGCTCGATCCGTATCGAATGCCCTCTCAGTCCGAATCTCCTGTTGCTACTACTGGTCGCCGGTCGGACTCGCAAGATGTACTGTGCTGGATTAATTCCGACCATCGACGTTAATTGCAATTCGTCGCGTTCCGGGTTAGCGAGATCCTGGACACCACGGAGATGAGAGAGTGGAGATACGTTCCAACAGATCTGAACGTAGCTGATGATGGAACAAAATGGAAAGGACTTCCTGATTTAGCCCCGAAGGCGAGAATGTTCAACGGCCCCGAGTTCCTACAGTACCTGGAAACAGATTGGCCGCGTTCATCACCAACTAGAACGAATCCCGTCAATTTAGAACTTCGCCCTAGTGTATTGACGCACTTCATCGTCCCAGAGCCGATAGTTTGCACGAGCAAATTCTCCAGCTGGAAGCGATTGGTTAAATTGGTCGCTCTTGTTCAACGGTTTCCCGTCAACTGTAGACTGAAGAAACTGCAGAAGCCAATCGGGAGCGGACCATTCTCCGACCGCGAAATATACTCCGCCGAATCGTACCTAATTCGTCAAGCTCAACCAACAAGCCTACCCGGACGAGATAGCAGTTCTTCGGAAGCAGCAGCAGCAGCAGCAGTGCTCGATTCCCAAGTCAAGTGTGCTGCACCAGAAAACGCCCTGGATTGATCAAAATAGGATCCTGAGGATGCGAGGACGTATCGCCGCTTGTCATTATGCGACCGAAGATTCTAAGTACCTATAATACTTCCCCGTGACCACCCCACCACCAAGTTAATCGTTGCACAATACCACCATCAGAATCACGAGACCGTGATCAATGAGATTCGCCAAAAGTACAGCATACCTAAACTTCGCTTGACCTACACGAAAGTACGAAGAGACTGCCAACGCTGTAAAAACGACCGAGTAATTCCGCGCCCGCCGATCATGGCTGACTTGCCGCTTTCGAACGCCCATTCACCCATACTGGCGTTGACTTCTTCGGGCCGTACGAGGTCATCATTCGCCGCCGAGTTGCGAAACGCTGGGGGATGCTCGCTACCTGTCTCACGATACGTGCGATTCACATCGAAGTCGTTCATTCCCTCAACGCTGACTCGTGCGTCATGGCGATTCGGAACTTCGTCGCCCGACGAGGAAAACCACGAGTGATCTACAGCGACCGCGGCATAAATTTCATCGGAACGAATCGGGAGATAAAGGAAGCGGAAAAGTTAGTAAGCCAAGAGGAGCTAATGAAGGAGTTCATCGATGCCAAAACGAGCTGGGAATTCTTGCCTCCCTTTTCCTCGCACATGGGCGGTAGCTGGGAAAGCTTGATCGGTTCCTTCAAAAAGAATCTGATGGCAATCCTACCAGCACGGAAGCTGTCGGACGAGGTTCTGCGCAACCTGCTCCCCGAAATAGAAGGCACGGTCAATTCCCGGCCGCTTACGCACGTTCCAGTTGACGACGATTCAGCTCCTGCTTTGACACCCAACCACTTCCTACTCGGGACATCCAATGGAGTCAAGCCACTCTGCACCCTTGATGACAGCGGTGCCGTGCTGCGGAAAAATTGGCGACTATCTCAAGTTCAAACAAACCTGTTTTGGAAGCGACTACTTGCCCGAGATAACTCGCCGTACCAAGTGGTTCGTCCATACACGGATAGAAATCTCCTTATACCTTTTGGCAAATTTCCATTGCTGATTATTCATAAAATGTATAAGTCAACTAATAAGCAGACGCCTTGCAAAAAGTTAATAAAGATCATGTGTTAAATGAAATGTATAAGCGGTCACACATACCTTTTATGCATTCTAATAGGACCTATGTGGTTTGTTTTATGGAATGTATAAGGCATCAGCTTTGGCAAAAATGTATAAGTGAAACACATGAATTAAATAATTGATTTTCGTTTCGTGTACGAAGCCGATCGAGGTCGACGATATAGTGGTTATAGCTGACCCGAAGTTGTCACGGAACTGCTGGCCGAAAGGCAGGATCATATGTACCCAACCTGGGCGAGACGGCCAACCTAGATCAGCGACGGTGAGGACATCAACCGGAAGTTATGAACGTCCGGTGGCCAAGCTACACGAAACGAAAATCAATTATTTTTTTTATGTGTTTCACTTATACATTTTTGCCAAAACGTCAGCCTTATACATTCCATAAGACAAACCACATAAGTCCCATAAGAATGCATAAAAGGTATGTGTGATCGCTTATACATTTCATATGACACATGATCTTCATTAACTTTTTGCAAGGCGTCTGCTTATTAGTTGACTTATACATTTTATGAATAATCAGCAATAGAAATTTACCAAAAGGTATAAGGAGATTTCTATCCGTGTAGCTGTGTTAGACGTACGGCGCGGGATTATATTTAATTATATTTATACGAAAATAATATTATGTTGGGAATTGCCAACGATTCGGGAAATTCCGAAATAATAATCCCGGAAATAAAACCACCGGTACTGAGGTGTTACTATCCGGTTGAATAGTACGGGAAAATGATGTCCTCAAAAGCGGAGGCTACCCGTTTGTCGTTTTTAAATTATTTGATTGAATCGATGTTTAACCAGTGTGAAAACAAAAAAAGTTTTTTGTATAAAGGGTGTCCACGATGAAATTGCCACACTATGAAATTGCTCTAACTTTTTAACCGTTGGGTAGAATTTAATGAAAATTTGGGTGGATTTAGTTCATAGTGCATTATTTACATCCTGCAAGTTTTAAAGTCCTGTGATCAAAACTCGCGGAAATGGAGTCGAAAGAACAGCTCGTGCGTGATAAAATCTTGCGCATTCATCACGAGAACAAGGATCTCTCGCATCGTTCCATCGCTAAAACGTTGTTAATCGCGAATTCCACGGTGTCGTGAGTGATTAAGCGGTTCGAGGAACGGTTGACCACCGATCGGAAGCCCAGAAGTGAAGGAAAAAGTATTCCGTACAACACCAAAAATCACAACCGCGTAGTTGGGGCCTTCAACCGAAATCCGAACGCCTCCGTTAGGGATGTGACTAAGAAGCTGCACCTAAGCCGAAGTTTTGTCCAGAAGGCCAAAACTAAGGCTGGGCTTCGAACGTTCAAGGTACAAAAGGCCCCTAATCGCGACGAGAAGCAGAACAAGTCCGCCAAAACCCGTGCCAGGAAGTTGTACCTCAACATGCTGACAAAAGTTGAATGCTGCATCATGGACGACGAAACATATGTGAAGGCCGACTTCAAACAGATCCCCGGCAACCTGTTTTTCACGGCCAAGGATAAGTTCAGCGTTCCGGAGCATGTCCGCACTCAGAAGATGTCCAAATTTGCGAAGAAATTCCTGGTTTGGCAAGCCATCTGCACGTGCGGGAAGCGGAGTGCACCTTTCGTGACCCAGGACACGATGAACGGACAGGTGTACATAAAAGAGTGCCTCCAGAAGCGGCTGCTTCCTCTCCTGAAGGCCCACAACGTCCCAACAATCTTCTGGCCGGATTTGGCCTCATGCCACTACTCCAAGGACGTGCTGAAGTGGTATGCGGACAATAAGGTCAATTTCGTGCCGAAAATTTTCAACACTCCGGAGCTCCGCCCCATCGAGAAGTACTGGGCGATTATGAAGCAGCACTTTCTTAAACGACCTAAGGTAGTGAAGACAGTCGAGGAACTGAAGAAAGTATGGGTTTACATGCAAAAAACGATTGATTCACAGGTTGTGCAGAATCTTATGGCCGGGGTTAAGGCCAAGGTGCGGGCATTTGCGTATGGACTGTAAATAAAATACGAGTAAAATGGTAAAATGAAGTTTAATAGTTATTTATTAATCCCTGAAAATTTGATGGCAATCGGATGAAAACTCGAATTTTGCGAATCAATTTTGTGTGTGGCAATTTCATCGTGGACACCCTTTAAACAAAGTATTCAACCGAGTAGTAAACCTTAGCAACGATTGGCAAAACGTCAACGCTCAACAGTGATGCCGTTTTATTTTTTATTTATTTGTGTCCTACTTGTCAAAGTGTACCTTAACGTGCCGAACAGTGTGCCATGCTGTGTATCGGCACATGGTGCAGAGTTGATTACCCCTTGTACAGTGGTGAACTTTGTACTTTGAAGGCCTTAAATGCATTAAGGGGGGAGTACACTTTGATTTTTCAAAAAAAAAAATGCATTTTTTTTTGCTTAAAATGTTCCTTGGGATGTATACTTTAATTTAGAAAAGACTCCAAGTCCGCCAGAATATTCCTTACCGCTTTACGAAGCGATTTCCTAAAACATGTACCGGCGCGCTGAGTGAGCATTTTATCTTTAAACACGTTTATCTCGAAACGGGGTTTTTCAAACTGGCGTGGGAAATAACTCTAACCAGTTATCATCAAATTTGGATATCGTTTTCTTGTTCAGAATTAAATTCTGCTTAGAAATACGTATCCACATTTTCGATTTTGTCAAAAATGGATTTTTAATCCACGATTTTGTAAGCATTTTTAGGGTGAAAAAATGGACTTTTTTTTCCTAAGGCCACAACTTTTGAAAAATTAATTTAAAAACAAATCGGAATACGTATTTCTAACCAAAATTTCATTACTAATCAGGATTTTTGTTCGATTTATGTTCCAGGATCACATGGAAAGGAGTATTTTCCCACGCCGTTTTCCGACTTCCGCGCGAGGACGCCCGCGCGACCTGGTGCACCGGCCACGGGGAGACGCCAATCCAGTTCAAAAAATACAAATTGTAGTTCGAAGGATGACTAATAAATGGGTTATAACATATTTGCCCTCCCTGAGTGTTTTATTGATCAAAAAAAATTAACGAAAATGCCTTGCTTTTTGGACGTTCAAAGTGTACTACCCCCTTAAAGCTAAATATGTAATATATCATGCAATTTGACTAATGTTTAATTTCAGCAGCACTTACCCCGAGACTTACCCCGTAAGAGAAACACGGGAAAGTATACATTTTTTACGGGCCCAGGACAAGCCTTCTTAACACAACTATGCTCAAAGCAATAATCTGAAGGAGCAAAAAATAACTGAAGAAACCAAACTATTATAATTGCCATTCGATGGTATAAGAAGATGAAACTCGGTTCAATTTGTATGGATTTATTTCATTTCACCACGAAAGTAATCAATAACCCAACTAACAATCTTAGCTGCAGACTAGCTTATACAGCCGCAAATTGCCTTATGCAGCTAATTTTTGTCTGTATAAGCTGATCTGCAGCTAAAATTGTTTGTTGGGAAGTTCTTTTCATATGACATTCTTGTCTGTTGTTTGACATCCACATGTGGTGAAACTGGTGCTGGTTTTCCATAGAGAAATACCAACAATCAATACGAAACTAACGATTTTAAATTGGCTCACCACTTTAGTAGCCTATTGGTCCCAAGCAAACGATTAACGTACCCTATTCTAGTTGAAATTCTATTACTACACTATGTTTGTTTTGATTCGCTATGAAAGTTTGACAGATAACATCAGGGGTGTGTGGATTCATGCAGAACATGCAGGGGTGAGTGAAATAGCTTGGGACTGCTTGGAACCGTTGTTCTGGTACTGAGTGAGCCAAAAATAATAATGATTTTCTTTGGGACCCAGTGGTCTTAGAGTTACCTCTATGGTGAAACTAAGCTTATCTGTCACCTTACCGGGAACTTGATGACCACACACCCACGGATTCTGACTACATTAACTCATAGAACAAACATTTCTCTGTCAGATAATTTAGTTAGTTTGAGCATAGAGGTAACTCTAAGACCAGAAGGTCCCGAAGAAACGTGCTCAACTTGTTGGCTCAGATCTGGTACTCTCTTCGGTCCCAAGCTAATCGATTCACCCCTCGAAACATAGGAAAATCCACTAACCCCTCATTTTATCTGTCAAACTTTCATAGCGAATAAAAACAAACATAGTGTAGTACTAGAATTTTGACTAGAATGGGGTACGTAATCGATTTGCTTGGAACCAATAGGCTAGTCAAGTAGTGAGCCAATGTAAAATCGTTAGTTTCGTATTGATTGTTGGTTTGAGTGAGTATGTAGTCATTCGTAAGAAACCGACGATCCAAGTTATTGTTTACGTTTCGAGTTAGACCCTTCTGACATATTTCCCCTGATTTGTTGTCTTCAATGGTACGCTTCATTCAATGAAGAGGGCATAGATCTACTATAGAATCACGTAATTCTTACGTGAAGAAAGGGATGGATGATAGCTACCTACATTTTCTCGTAACTGTGACGTGAATTATTTTTTGAGTGTAGGGTTCGTTGCTAATGCATGAAAAGAACGCAATTAAAACATTTTATCGAAAAACGGAACCAATCAGAACCTTTGGAAATGTTAGCCTTGACTTATATACCATCTGAAGATCTACAATACATTCTTGAAATACCTTCCGAAGAGAATTAACTGAAACTTACCAGCAACATATAACAAGCCGTACTGCATGGCTTCGTGTGCTGCTTCAACTCCGGCCAGCGTCGCTTTTGCAGATTTGGTCCCGGATGACAAGCTTGGAGACCTGTTGCAAATACATTGAATGGGAGAATAGAGCGCAAAAAATCGAAACAAAAATAAGATTACTCAATTAGATTTGCGAAAACTTCCTACAATGAGCGCCAATTAATTTCCTGTATGAATGATGCCGACAGAGTGTTTATCATGATCAATTTGGTTTCATGAAAGAAAAACGAATTTTAACCGTTATGTGCTCGACAGACGGGTACCCAGGTCTAAAAAAGTCCTCTAAGTGAAAGTATGGATGTCTGTCAAAAGTTGTTCCAATCGAACCGTCAAATGCACTCGATTAGAAAAACTTATTTCAGTTTTGCGGTGACTAGAGCGTTTTAACCAAGCCCCCATTTGAATAACGGTGTAGAAAAAAGCAAACAATTTGTCGAGCACATAAGGGTTAAACAGTGAACTATGGTAGCTTTTCGTTTTACGAAAAAGCTGATAACAAACGAAAACAGGGATAGACTTTCCTTCCAATTAGAGTGGGACCAATCAAGAAACGAAAAACAATGATCAACTGATCAACAGTATACACGGAAAAAAGTGTTCATGTAGTTTCCATTGGGGAATGCACATAATATTTTTTCCATTAACTAAACCAATGATATCTATCTGAATTTCACATAACATTCATGTTCTATATGATAAATCACCTAAATTTCATTTGACACATACGGTTCATGTGATTTTATGGTGCAATTTCCAATTAACCACTTCATTCGAGCAGTTAAAATGATGTAGAACCACAAGAAAAGCAGCCATCATTTGTGCGTTTCATAAAAGAATAGAAATTAGTTGGTCCAGTTTTGTGGAATCGCTGGTAGAAAGTCACGCCAAAACTGCTTGACAAAGTGGTCAATTATGATATCACATGAAAGTTCTGTGAAATTCTAATGAATACTTTCCATTGGATATGTGATTTATTCTTTGAGTGTAGATAAGAATTGAGAGTGGTGATGGTATGGTGATGAGTGTGTATGAATGACTGATTGGAGATGACACAAAGCTGGCACATCTCCTGGAGCGAAAGAAGCATGAGTTTTTTTTTTCTAATTTGGCATAGATTTTAACATTAAATTTTAGGTGTCAACTATCCGTGTGAGAATGGTCACTTAAAATTTCCTTTCAACAAACTCTTCTGTGTTTCTTCGTTTGTTATAAATATAACTTACGATTCGGCGACTCGCCAACAACGTGACTTCCTGCGGCGCCAAATGAGCAGTGTTTTAGTTCACGTGTTTTGTGATATATCGAACAATCGAAGTTTGAAAGATCGAGATTTAATTATACAAATGTTTAGCCAAAGATATTGAAAGGATGGAAATAGTCGCAAAAAGAGCAGTATTTGCAATGGCTCACAATCCTTAAAATTGTCATAAGAAACTGTACAGATACTTACGGTGCAAGAAACAGTCATATTTGAAACAACGTCGACAGAACAGCGTGTGATAGGAATGGAGCGTTTGCTCCCTCGATACGGATTCAGCACGCTTCCCGTCGATGTTGGGAGTACACTCCGGTGGACGTTCCGGATCAACGCGCTCAGTAAGCTCAATGTATTTCTCACGCAATTCCTCCGGCGTACCGTGGTCGGGAAACTGAGAGCTAACAGCTTGGAAGATTATCGGTGGAGGGAAGGGCTTCTCATCGATAACTTCCTTCTTAACAACTACAAACGGTTCCAGCTTGAGTTTGGGCAGTGTTTCATCTTTCGCAGTATCCGCAGCAGTATTACTATCATCTTTATCACCTTTCCCTTTAGTAGCCTTGGAGGTGGAAGGCTGGGAATCTTTGGCAGTCTCATCCATGGCAGTCTTTCTGGTAACCTTGGTACTATCGTTGCTGCTGGAGTCCACGTCCCTTCCCGTGTACTGCATCAACGCATGAACCAATTCAACGAAAATCGAATCATCTATAAAGCCACCCTCCTTGTCTCCATGTACTTTTCCGTCGTAATTTTTAATCAGTTCTTCAATAAACGAACCATCCTGGTCCAGCACTTCGTCGCCCATGTACGGGATATTGTGCAAAACGGTTTCATCTTCAACCATGAAATTTTGCTGAGTCGGAGCCCATGTGTACATGGTCGGTATAGGGGTCACGGCAGTGATCACCCGAATCGGAATCGTTTGATGGACTCCTTCATGGTTTACAATTTCAGCCTTCTTCATGCACTCCACATGGGGAAGTTCAGTCTCATTCTGCACCCAAGTTGCATTGGTCGACAGCCACGTATCATTTTCCTTCACCAGCAGATCCAGAAGCTTCTGACTGCAAAACAAAAACCACCATCAGAAACGATGGAATTTCAACCCAATCAAATAACTCACCGATTACGGTTCCAAGCCGTCTTGACCTCGTCCGCTCTTTTGTGCCTCTTGCTGGCACGGATTTTCATATACTCCGACTTGACCCGCTTCTTCCAGTCGAGTGTTAGCTTGGCCTTGGCCATCATAGTTTTCCTCAATCACAGCACGCACAGTCAATTGAATAACACTAGATATTTTCCATGAAAAAGGCGTTTAAAACTAATTTTATGAACAGCAAACAGCAGACGCGAAAAACGCGGAAAATTGCTGCTAGCTTTGAGCGGCAATATCCCGCCTGGTTCAACGAACCCGTCAAAAATCGCTGGATCGATGTAAACAAACGGCTGAATGATCCCGCCACAGTTTACCCTTGAGGCGAATTTTTTCATAATTCAGTGCTAACATTTGAAAACGGCTCAAAAGCCATTTGTAAACAAATGGTTTGTGGGCCCTTTACTCACTACTTGAAGTACACCTACGCGACACAACAGCAACATCGGGTAGGGGAAATTTTCCCCTTCCTGACGATGCTGTTGGTTTGCGTGGGCGTTCTTCGGGTAGCGAGTAAAGGGCCCACAAACCATTTGTTTACAAATGGCTTTTGCGCCGTTTTCAAATGCTAGCACTGAATTATTTACACTCGTATTACAAATCAGGGGAAACATGTCAGAAGGGTCTAGCTCGAAACGTAAACACACTGATAAATTGAACTAATCCCATTTTGCTTGAAATTTAATCAATTTGACATTAAACTCAGTTTAATAATATCGAATGATTAAAAATTAATAATCCCTTTCTAAAAAATAAGCATCTGATATCAATCCCAGTTTAATCATGATTGATTAGATTCCCTAATAAAAAATAACCATAAACGAACGATACCTCAAATCATTGAACTATTCCACAAATGGTTTGGATGATACTCAGAACACGTCGTTAAGCAAATTAACCATACAATTTTTAGTAGGGTTGTAGATTATCTCTTTTTGAATAAATTTTAATCATTTTTGATTCTATTTTAATAATTTTTGATTGAATTTTAATCTTTTTTGTTTTTTTCCCCGATGAAAACAATTTGCTTATACGTATGCGTGACGTAGTGTGCGTACGTTAAACGTCAGCAATCTCTATAGATATATATAAGGTGAAGCGGGAATCTGCATACTTTTTAAGCTTTTTTGATTTAATTTATCTTTGAGTGCATGCATGGGTATTAAGCGCACGGCGAATGAGAACGACCCAAATTTGAGTTTAGTTCACTCATAATCGCCAAAAGTGCAGGAACTCAGCGATGAGTAAATTTGTCTCATGGTTTCCTGTGGAAAACCTAAAAAATCTGCTGGAAAATGAGGAAATTGACGAAAATTTTATTCAGTCTCGGAGTAGTACCAGTAGACTGAGTGAATCCAATATTTACTTTTCTCAAATTCGGGAATTTTTCCCTGAAAAATCCTGGAAAAAGCTGGGAAAACATGAGGCAAATTTACTCATCGCATAGTTCCTGCACTTTATGTGATTTATGAGTTGACTAAGCTAAAATTTGGGTCGTTCTCATTCGCCGTGCAGACTATGGCTTAAACGCTGTCCAGACTGGAGAGTTATAACATGTTATAACGGTTGTCAACTAATTCCAACACAGAAACCACCATCAAGATAGCGCTATAACATGTTATAACTCTGTAGTCTGAACGTACTATTATAGTACGATCAGACTACAGAGTTATAACATGTTATAGCACTATCTTGATGGTGGTTTCTGTGTTGCAATTATTTGACAACCGTTATAACATGTTATAACTCTCCAGTCTGTACAGCGTTTTATATAGACTGTCTTGCAATGAGCACTCTAGTTTTCACTGGAAATCCTATGTATGAGTGCTCATTGCAAGACAGCCTATAGACATAGAGGTAACTCCATAGAGATAATTCTAAGACAAGAAGGTCCCGAAGAAACGTGCTCAACTTTTTGGCTCAGCTTCGGTCCCAAGCTAATCGATGCACCCCTCGAAAATCCACGAACCCCTAATTTTATCTGTCAAACTTTCATATCAGATCAAAACAAACATAGTGTAGTACTGGAATTTATACTAGAATTGGGTACGTTAATCGATTTGCTTGGGACCAATAGGCTAGTCAAGTAGTGAGCCAATTTAAAATCGATACTAATATTATGCAATGTGACAGATAATTACTGCCAGGTTTTTCACTCTGATGTGGACCAAACTGACGTTTGAGACGACGTTGTTATTCCAGTGCTGCATCATTTGCCTTCATTATTATTATTTTTTCTTATGTTGAAGTATATGGTAAATGTATCAGAGAATATCATCAACAATCAATACGAAACTAACGATTTTAAATGGGCTCACGACTTTAGTAGCCTATTGGTCCCAAGCAAACGATTAACGTACCCTATTCTAGTTGAAATTCTATTACTACACTATGTTTGTTTTGATTCGCTATGAAAGTTTGACAGATAACATCAGGGGTGTGTGGATTCATGCAGAACATGCAGGGGTGAGTGAAATAGCTTGGGACTGCTTGGGACCGTTGTTCTGGTACTGAATGAGCCAAAAATAATAATGATTTTCTTCGGGACCCAGTGGTCTTAGAGTTACCTCTATGATATCATCATCAGCTTCCGGGAATGGGAACTGATTATTTCGATTTGCTACTGTATGCGGAGAGGTTTAGCTGGGTAATATTACACGCAAGCCTATCATGAGGAGAATGTGCATATTCGTCGGCCTGGGAGCTACCCTGTGCATGAGTCCAGCTATGATTCCCAGACAGCAATCTCAAATTTCTGGCTATTGTGATTGATCTCTTCCCGACCACCTAGTGTCTAGACTTTGTTAACCAAGGTTTTCACCGCCAGCATAATCTGACATATCAGGCACTGGGCCCATTATTCATTCACGGCCAATCATACCAACATAGCTTATGAGTAACTGCAGTTTCTTCCAAATCTGAGTAAATTTCGTATGGAAAGAAAATTCTCTGAGTCAATTATTCTCAGTCGCTGAGCTGGTATGATTGGCCGTGTTCCCATATCGAATAAAATGAATAAAACATCATGTTTTTTGACAAGGGGTTGGTCACTCTACACAGTGTGCCAAAATCAAACTGGGGCACACCCGAGTGCAGTCATTAACGTTGTTTGGCACCAATGGTTACAATTTTTATGATCTTCAAAGTTACTGGCAACACTGAACTTTTTCTGCGCCTGCGCAGTGTGCACATAGAGATAACTCTAAGACCACTGGGTCCCGAAGAAAATCATTATTATTTTTGGCTCACTCAGTACCAGAACAACGGTCCCAAGCAGTCCCAAGCTATTTCACTCACCCCTGCATGTTCTGCATGAATCCACACACCCCTGATGTTATCTGTCAAACTTTCATAGCGAATCAAAACAAACATAGTGTAGTAATAGAATTTCAACTAGAATAGGGTACGTTAATCGTTTGCTTGGGACCAATAGGCTACTAAAAAGGTGAGCCAATTTAAAATCGTTAGTTTCGTATTGATTGTTGGTGTGCATGTGTCAAAATTTGTTATTGATGTTGCCACTCCTAGTCAAATTATTTTCAAAACAACCGTGAATCACCATCAAGTCACGCAATGGATTCTCAAAATCGTTACACCCGTGACGGCAGTCGCATCCACATTTCCTCCCATACGAAGAACAGCTGACAGTGGTATCTTGTCCTGACCGAGGTTTCCGGCCATGGCTACACGAACTAGCGATGCAGCTCCCATAACTGCGGCTGCTTCCAATGATGCTGCTGGTCCGTCTTTTTTGACGAATTTTAGAGGAGACGGACCAGCAGAAGGAACAGCAGCAGCATTGGAATCAGCCGCAGCCGTGGGAGCTACATCGCTAATTTGTGTAGCCGTGGTCGACGCTGGAAATCTTGGGCCGGTCACGACAAGCGGTGCTCAAAGCGGAAAGTCAACAACCAAACAAAAACTATACCACCCGACCATTCGAACTGCTCGAATATCATGGCGGTAGCTGCTACACCAACCATTCAATCGTCCAACATAATGTTGGAGGACCGTCTTGGCAAAATCTCAAATAGTTCAACAAATTATTTTTACTCTCGTTCCTTTTTGCACTTCCAACTAACACAATAAGAAATTATAATTACGAATCATTAACTACACAGAAAAAGGAAAATCCTTTCCTTTCTCAGAAAAAAGCTTCCGCTCTTTCAAAGCTAACGTGTTTTCGGTGTTCTCGTTGCTCCACGCATCGTTCATCTTCTTGAAGGAGGAGAAGCATAGCTTCATAATGAACGGGAGGTTTGTGCATTTTTGATCATCGCGCTGTGGTTGCACTTCATGATGACGTTCACCGCCAGGGCTACGCTCGGGAACTCGACCAATCCGGAGGAGGAACTTCCCGATTTCAGCGGGAACATTCGCACTTGTGACGGGTGCCAGTCCTTGATGGTGAATGCAGTCAGCAGCAGATCCTCGGACGGCATACGGGTGGGTTATTGAAAAAGTGGAGAATGCGATTTTTGCTGGCCTGAGAAGCGATTGTTCTTGGAGGCGCTGTAGACCTTGGAGTTGATCGAATTGTCCTGCAGGGTGTACGGGTTGGTGGACTCTGACAAGTAGTTCAGTTTGGAAAATTGGCTGGTCCGTTTCGGGTCAGCGGTGCGTCCTTCATCAGTCCGACGTGTGTTCCGGCAGGTGTTGGTCTCGGTGTTGGTTTCCAGTTTTCCGACGGATGATACTCAGGCGGTGAAAAATTCGGTGCAAATCCATTTCCTCCGCAGTTCCCAGAAGGGTTGGTTGACTAATGATTGACGTTCGTTGTGCGGGGTCGGCCTTCCGCCGAAAATGGAAGGATCGTGTAGCAACGAATCTCGTCCGTTGCAGGCATCCTTGGAGATGGATGCATCCAGTGTGTAGTCCCAACTGGAGTCCGTGTCGTTTTTGAAAACATTGAAAAACAAAACAAAAACAAGAGCTGTTAAAATACCGAGTTGTCAAACAAGGCATTATTCACAAGCAATCAAAAGTCAGGTCAATTACTTCTTGACACTGCCGGTACAGTTGCGGCGGCTGCGGCACACTGAGATACACTGAGAAAAAAGTTGGCGCAAAACAAGTGTGTAGAGTGACCACCCCTTGTTTTTTGAACATTTTTCTATTGACTTTTGCCTTTGCAAAGTTGTTGAATCTTGCTCAATGACTGAGTAAAATTGTTTTGCAATTTCATTTTCTCTCACGAAATTTTACTGCGAGTAGATCTGTAACGGCAATTTTACTAAAACTGAGTAAAATTTCTGTGAGAGAGAAAGAGATATTGCTATAAAATTTTGCTCGGCCAGTGAGTAACATTTAATTTTCAGTAAACTGCTTATAGTAGTTTACATTTGACTACGGCAAAAATAGTTACAGCCGGCGTCGGTGGTGTAGTGGTAAACGTGACTGCTTTCTCACCCCAATGGGTCTGGGATCAATCCCAGCCGAGGTCGGTAGGATTTTTCTGAGGCATAACAATCTCTGGTCACGTCTTCCTTCGGAAGGGAATTAAAGCCCGGCCCATATGTGTTGAATGGGTGCGATATCCTACGCAGGTGTGGAAGCTGCCTTCCTTGCACATTCGATTGTCGCTATCGATGTCCGTCGGTGATTGGCACTAGATTGCGGAACAGAGACCGACGTTAAATTAAGGAAAAATAGTTACTTGAGTATTTTCTACCCAAAATTAAGTTCAATTGACTCAAATTTGAGAATATCTTATATACTCAATAGTAGCTTATTGAACGATAGTCATGAGAAAATCGAATCTCTCGTTCCGTGTTTGACAACAACAAAAAGTGAGAGTGGAATGAAAAACTCAAAATTACCCAAAATTAAGTAACAAGAACATAAATTTACACAATTAGATTTTTTGCCGAGATGGGCACCACCGAGCAGCTCGGCATTTTATTTTGCTGGAAATTCAGCAAAAATACGTTTGTTAGCTGAGATCTCGGCAAAATTCCCGTTTGTTAGCTGAATCTCGGCAAGTTTTTCATTGAGATCCAGCAAAATAAAATGCCGAGCTGCTCGGCGGTGCCCATCTTGGGGGAAAAATTTAAGTGTGTAGGGTTTTTTCTCTCTGTGTACATCCAATTGTGTACATTGCTTCGTGTACGTCAAATTTGTTACATCGGGAGAATTACATCGGTTTTGTGTATTGTATCCCGTAAAAAATACAATGATTTTCATTGATGGAATGACCTCTGTGCAGCTGTTTGGATGTAATATTCAACTTTTTTTTTTCCATCACTCGGTAGATTCAGAATTAACCATTTTATTCGAACTTTTAAAATGTGGTTTACTACCACTCGAACTTTGAAATAAAACATTATTTTGAGATTTTTTCTTCTAGAACCTCGAGAAAAGTAGCCAACATTTGTGCGTTTCATAAAAAAATATAAATTATTTCAGTGCCAAAATTTCAAAGGGGCGTAATTGCATTTGTAAACAATGGCTTTAGCCGTCGATTTCTCGTGAATAAAAGCTCACTCATGAAAAATAATGACACCAGCAGGTAGAGAGATGTTTCCTCTACCAGTTAGCATTGTCATTTTGGAGAGGTAAGATTTCATTCGCGAGAAATTGACGGCTAAAGTCATTGTTTACAAAAGCAATTACGCCCCTTTGAAATGTTGGCACTGATTTGGTCCAGTTTTGTGAAATCGCTGGTAGAAAGTCACGCCAAAACTGCTTGACAAAGTGGTCAATAGGCGTGCACAACAGCCTCTATACCCATGAGGCGAATTTGTTAAATAACATGGTAGACCTATTCGTCTCGGGCGGGCACTAACTAAAAATGCAACTAAACAAGTCAGCAGGGCCTAACTCGAAACGAAAACAATCACTTAAATCGTCGGTTATTCACGAATGACAACACACCCACGCAAAATAACTAATCTATCTGATAGAGCAATGTTCGGTCTATCAGATGGTGTTAGTCAGATTCCGTAGGCGTGTGTTCATTCTTGAAAAAGCGACGTTTAAAGTCATTGTTTACGTTCCGTTTAGACCCTTCTGACATGTTTGCCCTGCTAACTCTGGCTGCATGCGGTGCACAATTCTCGTATGCAAACAGGTCTGGCAATTTTCAACTAGCTTTCTCTTTCTTTCCTTGGAGCAGCAACATTGGCTGCTAAAAGGAAATAAAGAGAAGGCCAATATACTGCCATTTCTGATGTAGATTACATTGTTCCGATTCTTCTTTTTACTCCCTCACGGCCCCACCCCACAAACACGAAAAACAGAGCGCGTTGCATTCGATCTGTCAAAAATTTCAAAGGCATAAATACAACGGCAAGAGAGAACCTGAGAGAGCGAACAAACAACAAGAACATCATACGCCAAGAAAGTGAAGTCTCCGTCGTCCTCCGTCAGTTGATCCTCCATATTTTTCGCAAAGTCCAGCTAACAAGCCAGCAGCGGTTTTCGAAGCCGAGTTGTTCTTTATTTCCGGATTTATTGCGTGTGTATTCTGTTGTGTTGTTTCCGTTTTTTGCGGTTGTTCCGGGGGTTCTTAATTTGTAATCATTGGTCAATATTTAGTGTGGCGTTGCCGCGGCGATTAAGTAGTTTTCCGTTTTGCTGTTGCTCGACGGTGGGGCTGAAATTTTTCTCGATTAATCATACTTGCGCGACTGCGAGTGAGTGTGGCTGTGTGTATTGCTCATACGTGCTACATACGACATACGGTACGAACGGAATAGCAGCTCACTGTGGGGGAACCGGAGCCGGTGGAAGAAGCAGAAAAAAAAAGTCAGAAAATTGCTCGTCGGGAGGAAGTGAACTTCCAAATCGAACGGTTCTGCTGAGCTCGTGTGTGAGCCGTGTGTGTAAATCGGGCGTAAAGTGCAAGCAATGTAAGTATACAATTATCGAAAGAATTTTCGATATTTAAACGGAACGGCAGGTGATCGGATTTTTCTTTTCCATCTACATATGCCGAAGGGGGTGGCAAGGCAGGAGAATGGCAGACAGCACGAAAGAGAAAAGAACAAAGTAGCAACAACAGCGGCAGCGCGCTGGAGGACGATAGGTGGGGTCCGTCTGGGAGTTGCGGGGGCGTCATTATCTTAAATTAGATCTGTCTGCCTTGTGTAGTGTTGAGGATTGGCTGAGAGGCATAAAGCCGAAAAATGTAGCAAACTGGGTAACATTTTTGCTCTGGAAATGTTGGGAAAGATTTTCGGGGTAATGGTTAATGTTTTAAGCGATTAAAGGAGGTACTTAGTGCCAATCTTCTGGGTTACAGTAGTAGCGTAAACAACGCCGAGATATTGTTGCGTATTAGGAACGTGCTAGTTGAGATACACTCGGTCGTTATCTGTCTAGATAGATGATAGAAGAAGACACGAAGGTTGGTATGTGGTTGATGAGATGAGTTTGCACTGCATGACTAATAGGAAAACATTGTAGGGAAATTCAGTGCCAGATGATAGAAGTATTGATATTTTTTTTAAATTATGTTATTTCTCGATGTAACGTGAAACACTGGCCAGACTGAGTAGTTATAAAATTCAGGGTGTTGAATACCTGGAAAAATCAAGGGGTATCAGGGAATTCATTTATGGACCTGTAAAATCAGGGAAATATTTCTGAATCACAAAAACTTATTAATAAGTATAACTGACTTCGCAATGGTCAAACAACTGAATTGCTCAATGTTGTTTGAGGATGGTTATTCATTTCAGATTTGAAATAGAGTTGTGAACTTGTGGTTGCTCAATGCTTGATGTTGCATTTTTGTAAGTTGTGCAAAAATTACTCAAATAAAAGGGTATTTCGAAGATTTTGAGCCTAATATAAATTCAGCTCCCACTGGGTGTTGGTATATTTCTCAGATGAAATTAGATCCTAAGGGTTGATAAAAATCAATTTTTGTAGACACTAGACGTTGTTAGTTGTTGAAAAATTTAACCTCCAAAAGGGGAACGTACGTCCCTTAATAGATGTTATGCCTAATTGTGTCTGACAGACAAAAATCAATCCTTTGAGCGTTTTGCAGCGCCTTTCAGTAAAAGCAAGAATGGTTAAAAGTTTAGAGAAGAGGATTATTCTTTTCTGAATACTTGTAGTTCTCCTTATTCTGTTCTTAACTGCCTGATTGGCTCAAAGAATCGACTAAATGAGATTTTTTTTATTGCTTGGCTTAGAACTTTTATGATTGCAAATGATTCAAAGATACGTAGAGAAACATTGCCTTGACAGCATAGAGTGGCTTTATTGAGTATTCTAGGTCTTTATTGTATACCTGGTTAGCTCGGAAAATTAGCTTCTCAGTAAAGTTATTGTATTGTGATGTTGCAGCCACAGACAAACAGACATAACTCTCGCAAGTTGTTCATCGAACAAGCATTTCACGGTCAATTTAAAAGCATCGTAGATGGTAATATCATAGAGGTAACTCTAAGACTAGAGATCCCGAAGAAACGTGCTCAACTTTTTGGTACTCGCTTCGGTCCCAAGCTAATCGATGCACCCCTCGAAAAATAGAAAAATTCACGAACCCCTTATTTTATCTGTCAAACTTTCATAGCGAATCAAAACAAACATAATGTAGTTCTAGAATTTCGACTAGAGTGGAATACGTTAATCGATTTGCTTGGGACCAATAGGCTAGTCAAGTAGTGAGCCAATTTAAAACCGTTAGTTTCCACCGGTTGGTAGTACCGCTATCTGTGGCGCGCATAGTCATTTCCCTTGAGTTTGACGTTTAAAAACTAACGCCATCTGTTCAGCGTACTATCAACCACAGTGTACTTAACAAATGGCGGTAATGTTTTAGCGACGATGTTTTACAGTGAGAAATGTTCAATGTGTTATGTCTGTTTGTCTGTGTTGCAGCTATTGCAATTTCCAAGTAACCATAGGCATGTTATTTCGCCTTTTTGATTATACACAGCTGAACAACGGCTATACCAGTGTTTGTAAGCTCTGATGAGGCTCGTTTAAGGCAGAAAGGTTCACTTATTCGGCTTGTTGGTTACTTGGGTTGAGGTGAAATTAGCTTTCAAAATTTTGGAGATGAAAGCGCTGTTTTTGTACGATTTCCCACCGGAGGAATACGGCCTCGAATTAGCGTTTGGTTAGGCTTATTATCCAGAATAACTTTCTTACAAAGGTGCTCAAGGGATAAAATATAATGGGATTAAGGACAAGTGTTTCATATGTAAGCTTTCTGCCCCTCGCGTTGAGCTCGGAAAAGAACTTCTAAGGGTGAGAAAATTGCCATCCAAGGACCTCTTTTCGTATCATGGAGTAAGGAGGTGAGAAACGGATCTTGAACATGCTGCGATTAAGCAAGCCTTTTTTGTAGATTTATATCGAGATGGTTGCAGTTTCCTTCACACATCGCTATCAATCATAGTTAAGGAATGTTAAGCGTTCCCGAAAGACTTAAAGAACAGTAGAGAGGAAGCCAGCGATGCCCATCAAACACGTTTGAACGAACTAAGCTACCCATAATCGCATAACAGTCCCATATGAAAGAGACAATCAAGCAACTGACTGAGATGCGATTATGGGCACTCATTGGGAAAAGGAATTCATGAAATATTCGATGTTATTCGGCTCCGTGGTGTTTTTTTTTTTAACATTTGAGCTTTATTAAATAAACGAATTGGAATCAAAATGACATAAGGATTTTGATGAATTCTTAAATGAAGTCACATTATTTTATAAAAAGCAAATTGGATTACAACATAAACGTACTTCAATTGAAATTTGCTTAACACCGCGAATATTTAACGTGGATTGAAATTGGATGTTTAAAGGATTATGTAAAATATTGTGGCATTGACGTTTTTTGGTACCCATTATATTAACAATTTATAAGCGTGAAGCTTCTAGCACAGACAAACAGACGTAACGCTTAAGCCATCTCCCAGTTGCGCTGGTATCATTCTTGTCTGCATACATTACTTTTCTTGTATGCATTGTTTGGGTCTATTCATGTAAGGGCACATACATAAATGACGTATCATTTGAGGTGGAGAGGAGGGTTTCAGAAGTGACCGGCCATATAGGGAATGACGGGGTAAGACGGCCACCGTGAAGCTTGAAGTAAAATTTAATGAAAACTGTATAAAATTACCGTGATAAATTTAGCAAATATTGATTTTTTGAATACTTTCCTTGATTACATTGATTTTCAGAAAATTTACTTTTCATTTGATATTTTATAACGAACCAAAAAAGACTAAATAATGAATGGAATATCACATGATCCTGACCATACAAAAGGTTACTGTTTTCGTACATAACTGGTTAGTCCATGATTCTCTCACTACGCGACACTAGCATAGAGGTAACTCTAAGACTAGAAGGTCCCGAAGAAACGTGCTCAACTTTTTGGCTCAGCTCTGGTACTCTCTTCGGTCCCAAGCTAATCGATTCACCCCTCGAAACATAGGAAAATCCACTAACCCCTCATTTTATCTGTCAAACTTTCATAGCGAATCAAAACAAACATTGTGTAGTACTAGAATTTCGACTAGAATGGAGTACGTTAATCGTTTGCTTGGGACCAATAGGCTAGTCAAGTAGTGAGCCAATTTAAAACCGTTAGTTTCGTATTGATTGTTGACATTAGTCTGCGTGTGGACTTCACGTAGATGTCATGACTTCGTGGATGGTGAGGATCATTCTACACACTTATTTTTCGTCAACATTTTTTTCAGAGTGCCTGATTTTGTTTGTGAATTATTGTATGTTTGGCAACCCGGTATTTTGACAGTTCAAATGTTTTGTTTTAGTATGTCAAACCCTAAGAGGAAGAGGAGACAACTGGCTTCTTTTTTTTTTCTTTTGTTCGGGACCTAACACTACTGCGACCAGTAAATTGATCTATTGTAGTATATCCCGTGTCCTTAGTTTAGTGCATGTCGTATTACTCCATCACTATTGAGAAATGATGAAGTATTCGATTTTTTTACAGTTGCCACTCTTGCATTTATCGCAAGGATCCGACTCTAATTGAAAGGTCCCGCTATTTATACCCTTCGGAGTGTTGAAACACCCTCCAAAGGCGCGCCCCTTTGTCAGTCAAAATTGGATTCCTTAGCAACAAAATTAAGGTATGACACCGATAATGACCATGCATCAGAACCCTAGTCTTAACCACTTCAAACTAGGGAACAACGAATAGAAGATTAGGAATCACATAGATGAAGACAACTAACTCATTTTTTCCCTGTGTCAAGATCATCCTCATTCGACAGCCATTACTCGTATTCATCGGACGTGTTCTCTTTCTGCTCTGCTTAACTTGGTGAAATATTGTAGCGAAAATGAGTGTAGTTCGTAAAAACACACTTGTTGTTGACTTCAGTGTCCTTCCAGTTCGTCCCAATGCGGGAAAAGTGCAAAAATTCTTCGAGAACAATATTAAGCTTCAATATTCGGACGTTAGATGCATTCAGTTTCATAACGTACGAAATTGTGTTTTTGTTGAGATGATAGACAATGAAGTTGCCTTGCGCTATGAAAAGGCGCACAACTATAAACACGCGATTCTCTGTGCGAAGAGTGAGTTCAAAATCCCGGTATATGTGGATTGTGAAGCAGTGACCGTTCGAGTGCATGATCTTCCTCTGGCATGGCCACAAGCCACTGTTATGAACCACATGGTAAAGTACGGGACAGTGATTTCCAGTCGACATGAGAAATGGAAGCACTACTTCCCAGGATTCATGAGCGGTGTTCGAGTTTTACGAATGCGACTCGAAAGCGCCATTCCATCGTACATCACGGTCGACAACGAAACAACGTTGGTAACGTATGACAAGCAACCAAAAACGTGCCGCCATTGTGGCCGAGCAGCACATCACAAACAGAAATGTTTGGATGTAGCCACATCGAA